TGGACACTTTTACTTAAGTGCATGTTTGAGGCCGTACTTCTTTACTTTTACTTGAGTAGAAAAGCGTAGGGAGTAATTCAAGTCATTTTAAACATGAGTGTCTGTACTTTGAGTAAAGGATGTGTGTACTTTCGCCATCTCTGCTAGTCTCTCACAGGACATTACTTACTGGTCTCTCACTAGTCTCTCAGTATCCCAAAAGGTTGTCGTTAATGGATTTTTAATAAGGTTAAAATCAGGACTCTAGACTGACCATTTCATTACTCTTCAACTTCAAGAAACTGCTTTAACCTTTAGCCTGTTGATTCTTTCTTCTGATAAAGATTCGGCCACTGCAGCCTAAATTCATTCAAAACAAGAGACTATGTCGAGATGATTATCATCCTAATAATTCCAGAAGCATTGCTAAACCAATATCCCATAGAAATTCTTTCCAACTTGTTCTCCAAAACATTTTTTACATCAAAAGATATGCAAGTTATCTTTTATCATATGACGTGAGGTCTAGTTCTTTCATGCATTTGTCTTTCTATCCTTTTGGGAAACTTGATTGAGTTACTGTCATTGTAACGATGCAATATTCTAGACATGCCAGTTTCTCTTGCTGTGGCTGAAAAGGATCTTCTCTTTGTCTTCACCTGTCTGAGGGTTTCAGTCACTTTAGAATAGCTATTATTATAGCCCATCTTGCAAGGACAGTAAAAACTGAAAAGTAAAGCTGACAGTCACTAAGGTTTGTAAAATAATTAGGAAAATCACCACCAGTGCCAGATTAACACCAATAACGCAAGGATACTTTAATTTTCTCCATCAATTTTGTTTATCAAATATGTAATTTATTAAAATATTATTTTAATTTTTATTTGATTGCTTATTCTGTCCATATCATACACTTTAAACATTTCTGTTAAATGTTAAACTGGTGCTGCATTTCGTGATTCACGTGTTTTGTTGGTTTATTTGCCTTTTGGGAGCTTGAAAAAGCTTGACGGCTTAAAAAAAATTGAACACAGTTTAACAAAATGCCTTTTATTGACATTTTAGTAGTTTGAAACAATATTATATAAGAAATAATAAATTGAGAATTAAGTGTGTAAAACCTACACAACTGTCAGTTTATTACCAGTGTTTGCATTAGCACTGTAATTTACAACACCAGAAAATATCACATTGAACAATTAAAAATGTCAATAAAAGTCCCTTTTTTGAAGTTTTTAATGTTATAAGTTGTTAATTTCGGTCATATAATGCAACTGAAAAGCATAAATAAATTAATTATAAAATACAAAAAAATAAAATATAAATAAAAACCCGGCTAATTTACGGATATGTTTTTGCGGTAATGAGTCAAAAAAAAGCTTAAGGACACGCACAACTCCTTTTTCCCCACGAAAGTCCTGTGAATAAAACAATGAGGCATGTTCTGTTACTCTGTCGTCAAGCTTTTGGGTAAAGAAACGTTTCACGAAACCTGAATTCGATGAAAATCTGCAGCATGTTAATCACAGATGTTACCCTGACAGCGACTCACCAGCTAGTTGCTATCTCCCATTGTTATGTTTTGCGCTTTTGAAACCGCCTTGTTAAGAAGCACAGCTTGAAGGGAGGATGAGGAAGGCTTCTGATTTTCCCAACTGCTTCCTCTGGTTTTGCTCATTTTTTGACAGGGAACAGAAAATTATGTCTCTCTGTATTGTGGCTGGATACCAGCTTTGAAGTCTGCTTGGCATAAAATACGACATTTGACATGATTGTGTGTGTGTGTGTGTGTGTGTGTGTGTGTGTGTGTGTGTGTGTGTGTGTGTGTGTGTGTGTGTGTGTGTGTGTGCGTGCCATACTTTCGATCATTCTGAAGATAATTTAGGTACAAGAATATCGATTACAAAATGAACGCCATTGTTTGACATCATGATGAGTTTACTGTATCAAACACTTACCCAGGATGCACTCTTAAAGATGCTTGTTATTTATGGTCTGTCTCTTTCTGTATATGACAAACATGCTGATTTCTGTTATAAAAGAATGTGGAACATAACAATTTTATTGATGTGAGCAGGTGTTTGCTGAACATCACATGGACAATATTTAAGCAAAATAGCCAAAGCTGTACATCACTGCCCCCTAGTGGAACGATTACAAACACACCGGTTTTTACACAAATAGTTGAGACAAAATGAAAATTATGTCATCATTTGCTTTCCTTCAACTTTTTTTCAAACCTATTTGAGTTTCTTTCTACTGGAGAAGATATTTTGAAGAATGTTGAAAACCAGCATTGACATGCATAACCTGGTATTTTTGTTCCTACTATGAATGTCAATGGATTGTGGACTCCAACATTCTTCGGAATATCTTCATTTGTGGTCAACAGACAAAAGAAACTCATACAAGGTTAGAACCACTTGAAATTTAAAATGTAATACTTTTAAGAGCAAAAAAATGCAGTTTAAAATGATAGGTAACCTAAAAAGGGTAAAGTCTAGATCGGATAAACAGCCGATCAGAAGTGCGATATGCACATCAATTATAGAGGCATTTTTTATGACACTGTATAACAATATCTAATATTTTACTGTACTGTGGGTTTAGGGTTAACATAGGGGTAGACATTAAAAATACAATTTATTGGGTAATTTAATAGATAGCATAAATAACACTCGGTACAACTACTGTTTTTACATTACTATGATGGTTGGGTTTTGGTTTGAAGTGGGGGTAGGCGTTTATAAAATACAATAAATGTGAAAGTTAATAAATAATATAAATAATTCTCGTTAACTTTTGGCCTCAACCATATCCAATCAAGCAAAAACCCCAAAAAGGTCAATTCTGACACGTTTTACTCTCACTCAAATTGTTCCAGAGCTTAATGCAGGGGTCTCTAATCTTGGTCTTGGAGGGCCGTTGTCTCTGCAGGGTTTATCTCTAACTTTCCTCAACACACCTGCCAGGATTTCAAGTAGTAAGACCTTGATTAGGTTGTTAAGGTGTGTTTGATTATGGTTGGGGATACAATCTGCTGGACACCGGCCCTCCAGGAATTGGTTTGGTGGCCCATGCCTTGAGTTTGTTATGAGTTAACAATAGCATGAGTTGCTATTGTTGAACACAAACGAAAAGAAAATGACTTTTTTATGCTCAACAGAAAAAAATAAACTCAAGGGTGTGCAGCCACCTGAGGATGAGTAACTCATGACAGAAATTTCATGTTTCATTTTAAATTTCATTTTTCAAACTTTCATCAAAACGTATAAGAAACAAATGGGAGGACAGTTTACGTTTATAAAGGGATTTTCAGCTGAACACACACACACACACATATATATATATATATATATATATATATATATATATATATATATATATATATATATATATATATATATATATATATATATATATATATATATATATATAAAGATGAAAATTCTGCCATGATTTACTCAGTGACATTCAAACCCATACAAATTTAGTTTATCTTTGAAATTTCTGGAGAGATTTCTTGCCCCTTACTCCCCTTGGGTACTTCAGAAAGTATTGAAAAGACTCATTCATTCATTTTCTTTTCGGCTTAGTCTAGCGGAATGAATGGCCAACTTATCCAGCATATGTTTTATGCAGCGGATGCCCTTCCAGCTGCAACCTAGAACTGGGAATCACCCATACACCTATACCCAAATCCCCTATACCACCTGTTTTTGGACTTGTGGGGGAAACCAAAGCACAAGGAGGATACCCACACCAACATGGGGAGAACATGCAAACTCCACACAGAAATGCCAACCGACCCCGCCGAGGCATGAACCAGAGACGCCATCTTGCTGTGGGGTGATTGTGCTACCCACTTCGCCACCATGATGCCCAAAATTTAATTTTAACAGATTAAAAATATATAACTCCCACTACATTTTAAAAGGTTATGATTTTTCATTTTTATTAAACGATTAACTATTCAACATTAAAAGTTTATTTTAACATATTAAAAACATATTCCACTAAATTTAATCTTTTTTTTTAATGGTTATGAATTTTTCCTTTTAATTAAATCAGTACAAACTCAATATTAACATTTATTTTAACATAATTATACCACAATTTTTTATATTTTTAATGTTTATGTTTTTTCCTTTTTATTAAACAATTAAATAATCAATATTAAAATTTTATTTTAACATATTTTAAAATATATAAAATTCCACAAAATTTGATATTTTTAATGGTTATTATTTTTTTCTCCTTGTTAAATAAATAAATAATCTATATTATAATTTTATTTTAACATATTTAAAGATATTCCACTACTATGAATATTTTTAATGATTATATTAAATTATTTATAACAGTTTTATGATTTTTTTCTTTTTATTAAATTATTAAATAATCCAATATGTTAACATTTTGTTTTAACATATTCAAAAGAAAACAATAAATTCCACCTAATTTTATGTTTTTGTAATGGTCATGATTTTTCCTATTTGTTAACGAATCAAATAATACATTTTTGCATCGTGATTATTTTTTCTGCACTTTAAACGTCGGGACCATTGCTGTCTATGGAGGGTCAGAGAGCTCCTTGATTTCATCTAAAATATCTTAACTTGTTTTCTAAAGATGAGGGTCTCAGGGGATTGAAACAACACAAGTGTGAATAATGAATAAAATATATTTGGTTGACCCAATCCTTTAAACTACTCAATTCCGAAATGTCCAAATCCTGTACATGAGAATGGCAAGCGTCAAGAATTTTGAATACTCTGATTATGCCACAAGGAAAAGTCTGTCGACTCAGAACCTGACATAGCACTAAGCACTTTACCATGCCATAGACATGTTTTATAAATCTGAAAGTTGGCATGGACTTTTACTATTTAAACATGAAAATCAGATGAAATGTCACAACCGAGCCCCTGGAATCAATCAAACACTATTTAAAGAATGGTACATTGTAAAAATTTGCTGTATTAAAGTAGGACTTAAATCCTGTCTGTCTGTCTGTCTAGGGTGCTCCAGGACAAGATGGAGAACAGGTGAGCACAACCAGCTCTGTTTCTAAACTCTACAGGCATGATATTCACAGCTTATATCATATTATTCATCATTCAAGGGATTGTTCACCTAAAAAATACAAATTCTGTCCTCATTTACTCACCCTTGACTTACCTAACAACCTCATAAAGGTTTATAAACAATTGAGGGAGACTAAATAGTGAGCGATTTTTCATTTTTGGGTGAACCGTCCAATAAATTAGTGTTTCTCAACCACGTTCCTGGAGAACCACCAGCCCTGCGCATTTTCCATACCTCCCTAATTAAACACACCCGATTCAGATCCTCAGCTCATTAGCGGAGACTGAAAGAGCTGTAAAGGGTGTTACAGACAAAGGAGACATCCAAAACATGCAATGCTGGTGGTCCTCCAGGTACATGGTTGAGAAACACAGCATTAAATGCTACTTTCTTTTAAAACTGTTTTCTCTCTCTCCGCAGGGACTAAGAGGTTTACCAGGAAATCCGGTAAGATGAAAGCACAGGCAGGATGTTTGGATGTGTTTTTAGGAAAATGATTTCGCAATTTTCTGAAAGACTAAATTCATTCCTCTTGGCACAAATGTGAACAGCATGTTTGAGCGTTTTGCCCTTTGTGCTGGTAAGTGCTTGTCCTTAAAACACACCGCCGTCTGGTTACTCGAAGGTCTTGAATCCGTTTCTGCCATGTTTGACTGGAATAGGTTCTGATATCAGTTTCGTCTTAATGTTTTAGTGCATGTCTGTGTGTGAGAAGCTAAGATGAGAAACATACTATGGGAATATACCGTTCGTCTTTGTATTAGAGCCGCATGAATAGTTCTACGAAACGGTGTCCGCAACCCTTTTTACTTCTGGTAATTTGATTTATTTCTAAATGAAACAGGATATTAGAAAAAACACAGGGACTTGATTATTTTTATCTGTGAATATTGTAAAGTGGCCTTTAGATGTGGCTGGAGGGAAAGTCTTTATGACGTAACTCAAAGTACATTTGTTTTAGTGGTGCGGCAAGCTTTGAGTCTTAAATTTTGATCAAATTTTGATTAAAGTAGGCTGAAATCAGCTGAAAAGTTCATGGAAATGAAATTAAAACCATTACGTTGGTTGTTTATTCATTAAAGAAAGCAAGAGCCATTCAAGTCTTTATATCAATTATACAGTCAAGAAGCGGTATGAATGTATAAGCCTTTCTGATTGGTAAATAAATCTGACTGGATGAAAATGTAATGAAAAGCTATACTTTCTGGTTATTGAACCATGGGGGAGCTGATACAGAGAGAAAAATGAGAGGGGCCTCAGACCAAACCCTGCAACTGAATGTACTAAACCTACATTTGTTTTAGGGGTGCGACAAGCTTTAAGGCCCAAATGCGCATAAAGCAAAATTGGTTGAAAGGCAAAGTTAATGGAATTAAACTTTCTGCAACTAAAAACCAACACGTGTGTTGTTTATTCATTAAAACCTATAAAAATTTACGATATCACCCTTTCTGATTGGACAATAAATCTGGTGTGATGTAAGTGAAATGACAAGCCATGCCCTCAGATTATTGATACAGAGAGAAATGGAGAAGGGCCTAAGAGCGAGCCCTGCAACTGAAAGAACCAAAAGTATATTTTTTGTTATAGGTGAGGCAAGCTTTAAGCCCGAGATGCGCATAAAGCAAAATTGTTTTGATTAAAGTGTGGCTGAAATCAAGACTTTGAAAGGCAAACTTTATGGAAATGAACTTTCTGCCACTTAAAGCCATCACTTCCATCGTTTATTCATTAAAACCTATAAAAATCAAGAGTCTTTTGTCAGGGTTTCAGGAAGGATGAGGGAGCAAGGACTCAAATGCAACATAAGATGGTATTTATTAATAAAAATAAAACAAAAAGGACAACAAAAACCACCCCGAGGGGGAAAAACATAACTATAAAACAAACACTCAAACAAACTTGGATGGGCTGGCAGGACAAACAGGACTGGATAGCGCAGGACATGGAAATAACGACGACGAACTGGCACAGGACTGAAAACATGAGGGGATTATAAAGCAAAAGTAAATTGACACACAGGTGAACATGACAAACTAATAATGAGTTAACAAGGAGGGTGGGACTAGACAATAGACAGGAGAGCACATGACACAGAGACAACACAAGCCATGCGCTCACATAAAACAGGACAAGAACATGCAGCCAATGAGAGAACTCATTAACTGCATGCTCATGACAAGACAAGCACAACACTGAAGCACACGACAAAAGCACGTGACCACAATGTATACACCGAGCCACGTGCTTTGACAAGAGACGCAAGACACGAGTACACGATAGATAAACACCTTATCGTGCGCTCACACATAAGCAACGCGCATGCTTCATCTCAGCGCCAACCAAAACTGAAACCAACTAGACGGAAGCGCCGAGAATAAAGCAGCGCAATGCTGACAGAACAAACACAAACACTAGTACAAGAGTGCGTGCGTCTGACGGACGCAGAGCGCGCGCGGCCACATCAAGCGGCAGCGCGCACACTCCGCGTACACCCACGACGGCGCGCGCGCACACAGAGACAGAAACAGGACCAGACATGGGTAGTGTCCGAGCTCTGCCACCAAAACAAGAATTTACAAGACCAGAGTGGCAGAACCCTGACATGTTTATATCATTAAGTGAATCAAGTAGGGGTTTGATGGTATCAGCCTTTCTGATTGGTAAATAAATCTGGCTTGATAAAATTGAAATGACAAGCTATACTTTCTGATTATTGAACTATGGGGGAGCAGATACAAAGAGGAAAGGGCCTAAGAGCGAGCCCTGCAACTGAAAGTACTAAAAGTACATTCGTTTTAGAGGTGCGACAAGCTTTAAACTCTTAATGCTCTCTTCAAACATTTGTGACTCTGTTATAAAACAATTAAGATATTTAAAAAAAATGGTGGAAACCTGTTATCACTGGCTTCCATAGTATTTGTTTTCCCTACTATGGATGTCAATACTTACTGTTTATTTTTTTTCATTCATTCATTCATTTTCTTTTTGGCTTAGACCCTTTATTAATCCGGGGTCGCCACAACGGAATTAACCGCCAACTTATCCATCACATGTTTTACGCAGCGGATGCCCTTCCAGCCATAACCCATCACTGGGAAACCCATACACACACACTACACATACACTATAGACATTTTAGCCTACCCAATTCACCTGTGGGGGAAACCGGAGCACCTGGAGGAAACACATGCGAAAGCAGGAAGAACATGCAAACTCCACACAGAAACGCCAACTGAGCCGAGGATCGAACCAGCAACCCAGCGAACTTATGGCTCTGAGGTGAACGTGCTACTCTGCGTCACCTAGATCAGATCATTATAAATCATATAAAGCATAGAATACCTCACCGTTGTCTTTCTTTATTTGAAGTTCATTTGAAGTTACATTCCATCTAGCGGATGAGACGTTAAACCGAGGTCCCGACTCTCTGTGGTCGTTAAAAATCCCAGGATTTCCTTCGAAAAAGAGTAGGGGTTTAACCCCGGCATTCTGGCCAAATCTGCCCACTGGCCTCTGTCCATCATGGCCTTCTAACCATCCTCATATTCCAATTGGCTTTATCTCTGTCTCCTCTTCACCAATCAGCTGGTGTGTGGTGTGCGGTCTGGCGCAAAATGGCTGCCATTCAGTTGGATGCTGCACACTGGTGGTGGATGAGGAGAACCACTGGTTAAATGCACTTGAAATATACAAGCTGAGGACATAAATGCAACTGCAAAGAAATCTTAAATCTGATATTGATATAACTTTAAGCAGAGTGACAAATTCTCCTAGTTCCAGTGATCTTTGAAGGATCTCATCGACCCAGCAACATCTGTTTTCCCTTGATGTCTTTGAGAAATGTACAGCAGCTGCAGATCACATCCATTTTCATTACTTTGAAACTGAAGGACACAAGCTTACAATAAGCAGAGCATTATCACAGGTCTGGACACAACTGTTATAGTTATTGTTATCATTCTTTGTGTGAACGCCATTGACGTTAGTGAGTGTAACATCAGATCAGATCTTCGTCCAATCAACAACTGTCTGGAAGAACCAGGTTTCACTAAAATGAACATCACAACACAAAAGAAAGGATCTGTTGCCTTACTTGACATGCAACTTGTCACTTTTACAGGGTGAAGCTGGTGATCAGGGTTACCCAGGACCACAGGGACCCCCAGGGACAAAGGTCAGAAGGATTCTTGCCCCAGTTTTGTTTACCGTTATGATATAAAAGCAAACTATTTTAAAGGGAATCTATTATGTCCCTTTTTACAAGATGTAAAATAAGTCTCTGATGTCTCTAGAGTGGAGGTCTGCTACCTGCTCCTACCACGTTTTATTCCGCACCCGACCGCTCCCATTGTATATTCAGTCTTTGTTTACCCGCTGCCTGCTTAGAATAATTTTCTACCCGACCCGACTGTTCCCATTCAATTTATATCTGGTTTCACAAATCTTATGTTTAAATTGGGAACTACCAAGAGAGAGAGAGAACAGATAAAACTTTATGTTGTGCAAGGATTGCAGGCTATATGTCAGTTTTGTTTGCCCCTTTGTGATGAGACATGAGTATCGCCTTAAACCTAAATTTACTCTTTAACCAACAATTTACTCTCAGCCACTGACCGAGGGTGCATCTCGTTACTAGTTTTACTTGATCTCAGTGCTGCATTTGACACCATCGACCACAATATCCGTTTGGCCAGCCAGTCAGTCGGACGGACGGTCGCTCCACAGCGGCCTCCGGCGGCTTTTCACATGAGAACAGCGCGGGCGCGAATGGCGCGCGCTCCCTAGAGGTGTCCGAGACGCGAAAAAGCGTGTACAGCGGCCTCTCGCAGATTCGCGAAAACAAAAACTGCTCGAATACGTACCTCCTGGGACGTATTTTGCGGTTTCCAGAAATGTCCGCTCGGCTACGTTTCCACAATAAGCCTGCGTTGCAAAGTTGTCTGCGATTCTTTCTAATATAAAGTCATGCAGTGTGAACAGAAGCGACGGAACACTACTCCACATAGTCATGCAGTGAGAAAACATCTGTGATGTGACTACTTTGAAAACCGTGCAGTCTGAACTCGGAATCAGTCGCTGACGTTATCTTCAGCAGCTGTGAAAACTCTAATGGCGGATGGCTGCTTCTTACTTAGGGCTGTTTATGCTAATGAGGGAGAGATTGTCACTAATGACAGGGGCTTTCCCCCTCTGATAACACATACAATCGGGGAATCAAAGTGTTTCTATAGACTATAGAATTAATTAATTTGTAACATTATAGACTGGCTGTAACAACACATTGTATAACCCCTTATTAAAGGGATTTTTACAAAATAGCTTCCCTTTAATTTAATTTCTTGAATTGTGATTGTTAAATATAAAACACACAATAACATTTTGGGAAAAAATATTGTGTATTTATCTTCTGTTTTTCATTTTTTAGCCACAGATTTAATTCTGTCCTCTCATCACAAATTTTAATGTTTGATCTTGTGCTCAGTTTCGTCATACCATCTGACCATTAGCTGATCATTAGAAGCACAATAGGAATGATTTCATAGAGTAATGGCCTTCATATGGACCTGATTGCTCTGTTCAAGCATAAGTGCTTCAGTCTTTCTCTCCAATCTGCTCTTTATTGATTTAAAAGCTCTGTATATGTTTGGCAGGGCGAGCAGGGAGAAAGAGGCTTTCAGGGTGAGAGAGGAATCGATGGGCTACCAGGGCTGAAGGTGAGCGCTGAGTGAAGCTCTTTCTATCATACAGTTGAAGTCAAAATGATTCACCTTCCTGTGATTTCCTTTTTTTAATATTTCTCAGATGATGTTTAACAGCAAGGAATTTTTCACTGTATTTCCTAAAATATTTTTTCTTCTGGAGAAAGTCTTATTTGGTAACACTTTATAATAACTACACACTATGAATCATTTACTAAGCATTAGTATCTAGTGAATTCATTATTTGTTAAGCATTAACTCTACCTTAATAGACGTTAGTAAGCAGTTTATAACTGCAGCTACATATGCTGTATTCTTGACATATTAGCACCTATATAATGTGCTAATTGTATTTTCATACTTAGTTAATAATTTATTTTTCATTACTAAATTAAGTATCACATTATTTACAAACCAGTTGTATTTAAGAGTAGTTGAGGGTTTTTAGGATAATTCAGACTGAGCAGGGCCAGACGGAATCTGCGGACGTTTTTGCTATTTCTGCAGAGGATTTTGGTACAAATCTGTGGATTTCTGCAGAATTATTTTGGGAGTATCCAGCGGAGTATTATAACTAAAACCTTAATATATTAAATAAAAAGTAATATATATATATGACTGAATAAAAACTGAATAAATTCAGATTTACACATTTACTCAAGTAAATAAACAGAATTAATAATGGGCTAAAAATATGCAGAAATCTGCTGAAAATCTGCGGAATTCTGCGCGCGCAGATTCCATGTGGGCCTAAGAATGAGTTCGTATATGATTAATAAACTATGGAAATAAACGTTTATATGTCTTATTATTCAGGCATACTAATAGTTAACTAATATGTTAGTAAATGCTTTATTAACTTAACTTCACACAGTTTTGTGAAGTAATATAAAGTGAGGACTATCAGAATTAAATGAAGAATAATCTTTGCAATCTTTCCTAAAAAGTAAAATTATTTTAAAGTTTAAACATTGCCGAAAAACAGGAGTGTCAAAATGCGACAAAGAACTGGATAAAACAACAACAACAATATAATAATTTAACAATGTAATAAGATGCAATGTTTAAACTCTACAGTGATTTTTATTTTAGATCAGGTTGCAAAGATTTATTTTTCATTTAAAGTACCGTTTCATTTGAGCATCTTTAAATGAACAGGAATGAATAATGTCATTTTTCCTGTTTTTGATTTAATTGAGCCTTTATTTGTCATTTATAAAGGTTTTATAAAGCATGAATAGTCCTCACTTTAGATTAGGTCACAAAACTAGATGAAGTTGAGTATATAAGGCATTTATTAACATACATAGTAACCATTAATATATGCCTGAATAATAAGACATATAAATGTTGATTTCAATAGTTTATCAATCATTTACTGACTCATTCTGAATTATCCTAAAAACCCTCACCTACTCTTAAATACAAATGGTTTGTAAATATTGTGATACTTAATTTAGTAATGAAAAATAAATCATTAACAAAGTATGAAAATACAATTATTAAGCACATTTTAAATATGTTTGTAAGTCAAGAATAGAGCTTTTGTAGCTGCGGTTATAAACTAACGCTTAATTAGTTAATGCTTAACAGATAATGAAATCACTATATGCTAATGCTTAGTACATGATTCATAGTGTGTAGTTATTATAAAGTGTTACCTTTTATTTCGACTAGAATAAAACCAGTATTTAATTTTTTTAAAGACATTTTAAGGTCAATGTTATTAGCCCCTTAAGTAATATTGTTTTTTGATTGTCTACAGAACAAACCATCGTTATACAATGTCTTGCCTAAAACCATAGCTTCCCTAATTAACCCAATTCAGCCTTTAAATAGCTTTTCAAGCTGAAAACTAGAATCATGAAAAATATCTATTAACATATTAAGTACTGTGCTTTTGCGTTTGGGGTAATATCTTTAAAATAATTAAAAATTTAACTTGAAGGGGTAATAGTTTTGACTTCAGCTGTATATATTGTATTTATAGTGATTCTTGTACCAGACATGGAATAACTAGATAACATTGGTGTGCTTGATTGTATGGTTTGATTTGGGCTTCATATATTTTTCAGGGAGATAAAGGTGATGTTGGAGAACAAGGGCCTCAGGGTGAAACGGTGAGAGATTTTTTTAATGTGAATTTTGATTTTCGTTATTACAAAATTGTAATAATACCTGAAACAATGTGAAATCACACTCCATTTACCACAAAGAAAAGCATATTTACACTGTCTATATAGTGCACAATGTCCCATTCGCCGTATGGAAAATATTAGAGATGCACCGAAATGAAAATTCTGGGCTGAAACCAAAACCAAAAACGTTGGATTCACTTAACTAAAAAAATAACTGAAATGATTGCTTTGTAATGTTATAATTGTTTTATGTTTTATTAAATAATATAATTTTGTAGGACATTTTTAAATGTAGCTCAACATTAAACTATACTGACAAAACACAAACACACACACAGTTATTAAAAGTACAATTGTATTTACAGTAAACAAGTCAAAAGAGATCATTTACGTTGTCATGACAACACAGCAGCACTATTGAAAGCAGCAGGAACAAGTATACAACATTAAAATGCCCTGTCAGCTAATCAAAGGTGCACTCCACTGCTTTTGCACCTATTAAAATGAATGTGTTTCATAGAGCAGTGCTTTCCACAGCCGGTGTGAAAGTCCCTTCACAGCACACAGTGACTACAGCTGACGCTTCAGATTATAGAGAGTATTCGATTTTACAGAGAATCTAATGTAAAGTGGGGAGTGATGTAATCAAAATGGTTAATTGTTATTGGCAGAAGTGATTGTGTGACTGGTTATTGTCGTTATTTAATGTTAGAAAGTGCCTTAACATTTAAATGTAATTTGGTAAGTGACTTCGACATGCTTTTGTGTGAACTTTATTACCATACAATTGATCGTTTACTTCAGATCTTCAAAATAAATGAAATGCTTATAACTTAATCTGATCAAAGAGCTTAGTATCATACAGATGACATAAGTTAGTATCTTGATAGTTAATAATGTTAAATATTTGTAAATTACACTATAAATAAAGCCCACTCACACACTGGCAGTGATTTTGGACTAAATTATGCAGAATATATATATTTTTTGAATATATATATTTTTTTCATTAGTAGAAATGCACTAATGAACTGAGTGGTATTTGGCTAGTCATGTGACCTAATGTAAAAAAGCTGTGTCATGTACATTTAAATGAGCTCTTATTAAGCTGAAAAAAACATTTTAAAAATTATTCCTTTCACTTAAATCAGGTCATTGTACTAAATAATCAAATGTTCCTGAAGCTTTAAGTTTCTGGAACTCGAACTTCCCATTTAGTCCAAAAACAGCTTTTATTGAAACCAAGCTACCGAAATGGTTTCCGTCCATTAAAACGGAAAGTTTCAAAGAAAGCCTCCAAAACATGGTATAAAATAGGCTATTACTATGATGGTTTATGATATAAACATCCTGCTAACATTATTAAGTGGACCTCAGAGTACATTGTTAAATTTACAAAATGCAATTCATGAGTTTTAGCCATATTTAAAACATTGGTTGAATAAATCTTTAAAGGGATAGTTTACCCCAAAATGAAAATCCTTGAAAATCCACCCTTCACTTGTTCCAGACCTGTTGGGCTTTCTTACTTCCATTAAACACAAGAGAAGAAGATATTGTGAAGAAATCTGGAAAGCTGGAACCATTTGTAATTTATGTTTTCCCACTATGGAAGTCAATGGTTACCGGTTTTCAGCTTTCTTCAAAATATCTTATTTTGTGTTTAACAGAATAAAGAAACTCATAAAGTTTTGGAACCACTTGAGAGTAAGTATGAATTATGCCTCCTTGTATGAAGCAATGTAAGATCACAGTTCAATAAATATTGCTTTCGATTAAAAGTATATACACTCACCGGTCACTTTATTAGGTACACCTTACTAGTACCGGGTTGGACCCATTTTTGCCTTCTAAATGGTTTTAATCCTTTGTGGTATAGATTCAACAAGGTACTAGCAATATTCCTCTGAGATTTTGCTCTATATTGACATGATAGCATCACGCAGTTGCTGCAGATTTGTCGGCTTCACATCCATGATGTGAATCTCTCGCTCCACCACATCTTGAAGGTGCTGTATTGGATTGAGATCTGGTGCCTGTGGAGGCCATTTGAGTACAGTGAACTCATTGTCATGTTCATGAAACCAGTCTGGGATGATTCACACTTTATGACATGGTGTGTTATCCTGCTGGAAATAGCCATGAGAAGAGGAGTACACTGTGGGCATAAAGGGATGGACACGGTCAGCAACAATCCTGAGGTAGGCTGTGGTGTTGACACAATGCTCAATTGGTACTAATGGGCCCAAAGTGTGCCAAAAAATATTTATATATCCCCCACACCATTACACCACCAGCACCAACAAACCTGAACCATTGATACAAGGCAGTATGGATTCATGCTCTTATATTGCTTTCACCAAATTCGGACCCTACATCCAAATGTCGTAGCAGAAATCGAGACTCATCAGACCAGGCAACGTTTTTCCAATTTTCTATAGTCCAATTTTGGTGAGCCTGTGTGAATTGTGGCCTCAGTTTAGCTTACAGGACCCGGTGTCACCCAGTGGGTTCCGTTGCTGCTGTAGCCCATCCGCCTGGACATTGGTTGGACATATTGTGCATTCAGAGCTGCTCTTCTGTAGACCTCGGTTGTAACGAGTGGTCATTTGAGTTACTGTTGCCTTTCTATCAGCTTGAACCAGTCTGGCCATTCTCCTCTGACCTCTGGCATCAACAAGGCATTTGCGTCTACAGAACTGCCACTCACTGGATATTTTTCTTTTTCTCACCATTCTCTGTAAACCCTAGAGATGGTTGTGCGTGAAAATCCCAGTAGATCAGCAATTTCTGAAATACTCAGACCAGCTCGTCTGGCACCAACAACCATGCTACATTCAAAGACACTTAAATCACCTTTCCTCTCCATTCTGATGCTCGGTTTGAACTGCAGCAAATCGTCTTGATCATGTCCACATGCCTAAATGCATTGAGTTGCTGCCATGTGATTGGCTGATTAGAAATTTGTGTTATCGTGCAGTTGGACAGGTGTACCTAATAAAGTGGCCACTAATTGTAGCTCTTAAAATGTGAGAAAATGTGCACATTTGTGTGACCAGAAATGTTTTCATCAAATCAGGGTCGCCCCGGTGAGAAAGGCATGTCAGCATCTGGTGACATCATCGACTTCAATGGAAAACTCTTAGATGCCTTTCAGGTGAGCTGTGGTTTGTATTAATGGTTATTGCTTGGAAAACTTCTCAACAACTATTACTTTTGCCAGTTTGGGATTCATGTTAATTTGTTGTTACTGGATAGACTTCCTGCTATGCAATTATGCAAACCTCAGATGACCATAAATGCATGGTTATATTAAAACCAAATGTCATTACATGTTCTGAAAATCTGGTTGACTTATTTTTTTCTGGCAGGCCATCAAAACCATCAGTGTCTCGGTAACCATACTGTAGCATGGGTTGCTATTTGTGCTTTTATTTAATATTTTTTATTATTTTATTTTATTTTATTTTTATTTTTTTTCTTGTTTTTTGTTTTGTTTTGTTTATTTTTATTTTTAATTTTATTAAATCCTTTTTTAAATTATTTATTTATTTAATTTTTTTATTACATTATTTAAATTTTTGATTTTATTTAAACATTTAATTTAATTTATTTTAATTTTTAATGTTAAAATTTTTAATTTAATTTAATTTAATTTAATTTAATTTAATTTAATTTAATTTAATTTAATTTTTATTTTATTTTATTTTATTTTATTTTATTTTATTTTTTGTTTATTTATTTATTTTTTTTTATTTAAGGCTGATCTTGACCCCTAACAAATACTCACTATGTGTGCGTGTGAAATGAAAACAATAGTTTAATTCAGATTAATAATTCATGATTTTGCAGTTGCCAAAAGCATTGAAGTTTCAATATAACGGTTGTTTATGGAGTTTGATCTTTTTATATAATGCGATTCATTTCATTAGTTTTATTAATTGTATTATTTTATCGTTTAATTACATGCAATGCATCTTTCTAATAATAAAATTATTACAAAATGCTTTACAGAATGAAATATAAATAATACTTAACATCTGATACAATAAACACAGCCACAATTAAAGTTTTTCGAGTATAGTTTTTTAAAACTATCAAAAGAAGGAACGTTTCTAAGCATCCAATGAATTCTGTATCAGATTTTTGAAGGAGTTGTTGTTTAGCCAAATCACAAATTTAAACTTCAAGCCTCGAATTCCATCAAACACTGAAGTTAAATAAACCCTAGTGCTATTTCTTTACATAGCAAGGATTTCCCAGACCATGCTCCTAATATTCCAAAAGCCAACATTTAGATTCTAAACAGAGCAGGCGCCAGTACTGAGCCCTGAAGAACACTCTGATGTATTGGCTGTAATGAGTCTGAAATGTGCTGGTGTTCAGGTAGAAAAAACTGGCAACATTTTAGATCATATTTTCAGTTCCAGTTCAATGCAGTGCCAGAAATCCAGTTCCAGCAATAAAATTATATATTTTATTTAATGTCAGCACTAAATCCTGCAAAAATCTAAACAAATCATGATTTTTGTTTGTATTGTATGCATCATTATTTATAAAAGCGTTGAAGTAAACATGGATAACAGATCTCCGACTGTGCCATTACAGCAGGGTGTTCCTCAGGGCTCAGTATTGGGTCCTGCTCTGTTTAGAAGCTAAACGCTGGCTGTTTGGAATATTACCCAGAAGCATGGTTTATTTAATTTCTGTGTTTGATTTAAACCGCACTTCCTTCAAAAATCAGATACAGGACTCATTGGCTGCTTAGGAATGCTCCTTCTTTTTTATCTGTATCTGATTTCTGAAAGAATTGTGGCTTCGTCAAATCACGAATATAAACTTCACGCCTTAAATTCCATCTAATTTTGTGTTCAGATAGAAAAACAAGTAGCATTCTGGAATATACTGTTAACCCTTTCATATGTGACTTTTAAATAGTCCAGCTGACCCTCCTGCCGGTTTATTTTTGTGACCATTACATAGAATCCATTGTGTTCTAAAATTCCCAAGGGGGCGCGTCAAGTTTATCACGTGACCCACCAGCCCCAATGATCTATGTATATATCAAACTTTTTTCTTTTTGCCCTTTTCTGTAAATATTGACACATGTTCTAATTATATTGTGAAATTGCAGATACTCCGATTCTCAAATATGTGATAGAACACATATTTGTCTTTTAAATCGTTTTGTAATGATTGTATTATTTGTTATATGCTGGGTAAAGCCCTTTCCTCCAGTGATGTGAAGTCTAGATAGGTTACAGCTGAGGAAACAGTTGATGACATGTGCTCTGAAAGTTCTAATCACACCGGTGTGATCATACACTTCAGGAACCAAGGCTGATCGCACCAGTGTGATGGTATGCACGAAAAGGTTCAATCCAGTTCCAACAATAAAATTATATATATTTTATCAAATGCAGCACTAAAATCCTAACAAAAAGTGCTACAAACCATCAGAATCAACTATGACGAGGAGGTCATTCATGACCCTTTCTAAAGCAGTTTTCATTTATACTATACAGATGATGTCTTTTGTTTGTATTGGCAGTAGCAGTATCAAAAGGCTGTGCCATGTACGCATCATTATCTATGAAACATTGAAGTAAACATGGCTAACAGATCTCAGACTCTGCCATTACAGCAGGGTGTTCCTCAGACCTCAGTACTGGGTCCTGCTCGGTTTATTATCTAAATGCTGGCTCTTTGGAATGAAGGCCTGTATGAATAATTATGTATAAAACATTGAAGTAAACATGGCTTATTAAAAATGATTCAAATAAGTGTTTTTGTAATACAACAGAAAATTTTTGGTTGAATTGTTTGTTGATATTCTTCCTCTGGCAATGTGCATCTGGGTTGTTTAATGAATGGTTCTTGTGGTTACATTTATAATGTCTGTTTAAATGTTCTGGATGATGCCTTTCTTTGAACGTCTGTGTTTTGTCATAGCAATTACGAAATGGGAGGAAAAATTAGGAGTTTTGTCGTTTTCAATGTCTGCAAGACTTTGCGGTCATCTCTATCAACACTGAAATCACTCTGAGATGATTATCGAACCACCAACCCTGATGGCACATTGTGCAGATGCATTGAAATCTGCTGAAAAATATCAGTCATAATTTTGGTTTGTAACGGTCTAAAGAATAACAGTATTTCCTTCAAAGAATGCCATCGACATTGTTAAGCATCATTAAGGATGTTGTTTTCAAACTCTAAAACATTTGAGATCCTGAAGGGATTACACATGAAGAATTATACTGGGAAAACATTTCCTTGTTATATAGCTGTCATAAAATGAGGTCTATCAGACGTTTGTGGTAAAGTGGGTTTGGAAAAATGCAATTTTACAAGCTTTAAATATGTTCCATTTACTTACCAAACAGGGTCCACCTGGCCCTCCGGGACCACCAGGACAAGAAGGTCCAAAGGTAAGCTTCGTTCACATTTTGATTTGGTGTTTTCATGAAATCTGCATGAAGGATTTGCCAGAATGCATTACCTAAGTTTGGTATAATGGGGTAGTTCACACCAAAATAAAAAAAAAAAACTTACCATCAAGTGGTTCTGAACCTTTATAAGTTCACTCAAAAATTTAATTTGCTGCTTGTTTAAACTACTTATTTACAATGAGTTGAAATAACACAATTATTAGGTTTTTGGGGACAAATTAATAGTTTTATGTTCAACTCACTTAAACTTGTAAATATTTTTGTTGGGACAATATGAAAGAATTGTTTTGAACCCAATATTTTTTACAGTGTTTTTTCCTTCGGTTGGACACAAAAGATGAAAAGAAGATATTTTAAAGAATGTTTGAAACTTGTCACCATTGTCTGCCATATTAGGAAAAATACTATTAAAGCCAACAGTTAAAAGCTTTCAACATTCTTCAAAATATCTAATTTCTTTGACAACTATTGACCATTACTATCAAAGCCAACAGTTAAAAGCTTTCAACATTTTTCAAAATATCTATTTTTTGATAACTATTGACTAGTTATATTAAAGTCAACCATTAAAGGCTTTCAACATTCTTCAAAATATCTTCTTTTTTGACAACTATTGACTAATACTATTGAAGCCAACAGTTAAAGGTTTCCAACATTCTTCAAAATATCTATTTTTTGACAACTATTGACTAATATTATTCAATTCAACGGTTGAAGGCTGTCAACATTCTTTAAAATATATATTTTTTTACAACTTTTGACTAATAATATTGAAGCCAAAAGTTAAAGGCTTTCAACATTCTTCAAAATATATAATTTCTTTGACAACTAGACCATTACTATTAAAGCCAACAGTTAAAAGCTTTCAACATTTTTCAAAATATCTATTTTTTTAAAACTATTGACTAGTATTATTAAAGTCAACCATTAAAGGCTTTCAACATTCTTCAAAATATCTTCTTTTTTGACAACTATTGACTAATACTATTGAAGCCAACAGTTAAAGGTTTCCAACATTCTTCAAAATATCTTTTTTTTTTTCTTTCAGGGAAAAACTCAAACAGGTTTTTGACAGAGTAAATGATGACAGAATTTGGGTGAACTGTCCCTTTAAGTCAGGGGTCACCAATCCTGGTCCTTGAGGGCCGGTGTCCCTGCAGGGTTTAGCTCCATCTTGCCTGGATTTTTAACACACCTGCCTGGATTTTTCAAGTATACCTAGTAAGACCTTGATTAGCTTGTTCAGGTGTGTTTGATTAGGGTTGGAACTAAAATCTGCTGGAGATCGGCCCTCCAGGAACAAGTTTGGTGACCCCTGCTTTAAGTAATAGGATTATGATAAATATCAGTTTTATATTTCTTAAAATATTTTTGGTTTATAAATTCAGGGTGAACTTGGCTTACCTGGACCTGCTGGGGTCGATGGTGAAAAGGTGATCACTGGTTTAATCTATTTAGAAGAATATCAGTTGTTTACTTGTATTTGAGTAGCTACAAATGTGTAATCCAACATAGATTACTAATTACATGATGAAAATTGCATATATTATACTGCTGATTTTACAGATATGTATTTTGACTATTTTTTGTTCTATAAGCATTTTTAAAGGGTAAAAAGACATTAATCACAATTAAAATATTAAGTAATTTTATTTTAACTTTTATTTATGGGTTTATTTAAATGTCAGGGTGATAAGGGAGACACTGGAGAGCCTGGTGAATCTGGAGAGAAGGGCGAGAAGGGAGAAATGGGCCTCTCGGGTCTCTCTGTAAGTATTCAAACTGATTTCTTCTAAATCATCTTGTTAATATTTTAGCATATTGTTAAAATTGATCAAATGTGTCATAGGGAATGGATGGGCAGAAAGGAGAGAAAGGAGACTCTATACTAGAAGACAATCTGGTACGTACAATCGAACCCAACTTGGTTGGTTTTGGTACATTAAAACTGTAGCGTTAAGGCTGATTTATACTTCTGCATCAAGCTCATTCGTATGGTGCAGCACAGCCTTCACGTAGTCGCATAGCCCGCAACACTCAAAAAATGTAACTACACATCGGAACGATGCATAGCACAAGCTCTGTGATTGGTCGGCTTGGTAGCTGTGCCGAGTGTGGGTGGTGCTAAGAGCCACGAGCCCGATGAAGCGAGTGTTTGCAAGTGTCGAGTCTCGTGAAGGAGCTCCGGGTGGAAGTTTTTGTTTTATGTTTACCTTATAATTACCTTACCTTTTTAGTTACTTGTACATTAAGATAGGTAAAAAAAAAAAACCCGCAAAGAAACTTGATACAGAGGAACATAACATAACCTACCGCCAGCTAGCATTTCGGAAATGTTTTTGCAGAGCAACACAAACAGCATGCAGAGGTATAAATAAATGGCTATGTGCAAGACATGCACCGTGGGTCATGGCCATCACTCGATGCAGAAGTATAAACCAGCCCTTACGAGTGCAGTCATTTTTTACTTGTACAATATGAGTGTTGTTGTTTTTTTCAACTCTCTACAGGTTCAGATGATTTCACAGCCTGGACCCGCAGGACCTCCAGGTCCACCAGGACCACCTGGATACATGGTGAGACTTTTTTAGATATACATATTGATGACAGTTGATGACTAACAAGCCAGCCTGATCTCACGAGGAAACTTAACTGTTTTATGCTTTGTTAGTTTAGTGGCTAATTCGTACAATTAAAAATGAATGATTTTTTTTTTTTTTTTAAAGGCATGGCACCAAACCCCGCCCTTAAACAGCCATCATTGAGGATAAGCAGATCCTACTAAATTGTACGAATGAGATCGTGTGAATTCATACGAATTAGCCACTAAATCAAAAAGTTATGAATAGACTGCCGTTACAAATGTCACTGATCATTATCAGTGTGGCAGAAACATGGGGTGGGCTCATTTGACAACCTGTCAGTCTGTCAGGATCATTACGAAGCTCTCACGCCACACCCTAGCAACCATTCATAGCACCCTAGCAACTAATCCCATATATGGCAAAAATGCAATCTCAATAATTATTTTTAATATTGAACGATAACCATATATATTTTAATATAAGCTTTTAATGCTTGCAGTTTTAAAAATTAGAGAGTCCATTAATTAGCATAACTTTTTTTGGCTGATACACTTTGGGTGACCGAAAATTCAGTACAATTAAAAATGTATGATTTTTTTTTAAAAGACATGGCCCTAAACCCCGCCCCTAAACCCAACCGTTATTGGGGAAAGCAAATTCTACTAAATTCTACGAATGAGATCTACGAATTCATACGAATTAGCCACTAAATCAAAAAGTTACGAAAAGCCAGCCTGATCTCACGAGAAAACGTAAGTATTTTATGTTTTGGCAGTTTAGTGGCTAATTCGTACGAATTCGTACGAGTTCACTCGTAAGAAATTGTATGATTTTAAAAAGGAGGCGTGGCACCTAACCCCACCTCTAAACTCAACCGTCATTGGGGGATAAGCAAATCATACTAAAATGTACGAATTAGATCGTACGAATTCGAACGAATTAGCCACTAAATGAAAAAGTTACGAATTGCCGTGAGATTGTGTTGGAATAGCCGTGAGATAGCGTTGAACAGGCTTGTCATATACAGGAACACAATTTTGAGTGAAATAATGACATCAAACTAAGATTGACAGGGTTATTTTTTTGTTTTTTAGGGTCATCGTGGCATGCCAGGCCAAAAAGTAAGTTTTCATTTCATTTAACATTTTTTATTCTAGATGTCTAGATGCCTACATTGATTCCTACACACAATACTTATATAATAATCTTTAAGTGCTTTGAACTAAATAATAAATATGTGGAGATCAGTTTAACTTTGTATTCAATTTCCCACAGGGAGATTCAGGAGAGAGTATTAAAGGAGAGAAGGGAGAAACCGGTGCTCCAGGAACACAAGTGAGGCCATATCTAATCCCATAATGCACTAGTCCAGAATTTCAAAGCTAAAGCCATATTTTTATACATTACATGTACAGTTGCCCTGTGAATGATATGAATGTGAAGTTACCCTTCTGTAATCATTTATTAGCGGTGCGTACTTTGCAAATCATCCCTGGTCTTCATCTGTTTGGGAATCACTTAGTTCTGGACAAAACTTCGGCATGTAACTAGTCCTGCACTGTTTGTCATAAACTCTTGAATGAGGGGGTCAGATCATGTGGGTTATTAAGGAATGATGTGCTATGACTTTTCTAAGAGTTTTGGGGTAAATTGCCCCCCATAGGGCAAAAACGTTCAAATATACCATTGACTTAACATTGTAATTTTGATAAATCATAGCAACAACATGACAATTTGGTAGAAGGATGTGGTTTACCACATTTGAAGAGGATTGCAGACTGTGTGAGAACATACATGGCAATGTGGAAAACGTTGTACACCTGGGGCACAAAATTGCCTCACTTACAGTGAATGGGACGGCCCATTAAATGTTAATACATCCCATAGACTGCCATTATAAATGTCACTGATCATTATCATTACATAGCAGTGTTGTAGAAACATGGGGGTGGGCTCATTTCACAACCAATCAGTCTGTCAGAATCAATATGAAGCTCTCACGCCACACCCTAGCAGCCATTTATTTATACCACCCTAGCAACTGATCCCATAGTATGCTATCATAAAAGGGCCAAATGGATATCTTTGCATTGCAGTTGTTGTTCCCATACACCTAATTTTATTCACGTTGGAATATCGCATAAAATAATGCTTGATGGAAATGCCAAGATGTGCATAAACTGTGAAAATACGCTTAATAAAACCCCTATGCGCACTACTGAGTTGGATAAACATTCTATCCTGTCCTATCTGATAGACTTACAGGAACTAGTAGTGACTAGCTACATGCTAATAATGATTAGCTAAATACAACATGCTAAAAATCCTTTAGGCGAAAAAAAAAATTGAGGAAAAAAATCAGATCAGGTGTTCCTCAGAGCTCAGTACTGGGTTCTACTGGTATTAAACTATGTGAAAATGTTAACCAACAACATACAGAATCGTGTTAAAACATAGTAGCAACATCAAGTTAAGGGCTAAAACATTTGAATGTCAAGCTAACAATGATAAAGAAGTGCATATCTAGATAATGCTATTATGCTTTATAGGGCCTTCAGGGTCTTCAAGGACCACCAGGAACAACAGGATTAGTTGGCCTCCCTGGAACAAAAGGTGAAAAGGTAAACAAATGATCATTGTTTAAACTATTGATTAATTTTTGTTTAATGAATGTCAAGTTTATGTGGGGTGATACAGTGGTGTGGTTAGCACTCGTCACAAAGCTACAGTAGGTCACTGGTTCGAGTCCTGGCTGGACCAGTTGGCATTTCTGAGTGTATTCCCAGTACTGGGTTGTGGCTGGAAGGGCATCCGCTGCATAAAACATATGCTGGAATAGTTGGTGGTTCATTCCACTGAGGCAACCCCTAATAAATAAGCCGAAGGAAAATGAATGAGCAAATGAAGTTTGAGCAGATGTGTTTGTGGTTGGGTTTATTTCAGATGCTTTATTTTGTAAATGAATGGCCAAAATAATAATACAAACGGTTCAAGTTTGTGCCATCTACACCCGATTAATTATAGTTAATATTATATGTATTTTTCTACAGGGAAAGCAAGGGGAACCTGGATTAGATGTAAGTAGCAGCGTTGTATTATTGAGTTTAAATTTTTTAATTAAATTTTTTATGTATTATTATTATTTCATATTTTGTTAGGTTTTTTTTTGGCATTATTATTGCTTCTATATATGCTAACTATTTTTATTGGACATTTTGTAATTTTGGTTTAGTTAAAAAAAAAAAACATTTCATAAATAATTTAAGAAAATGTATTTATAGGGAAAATGTATATGGCTGATTCCAGCGTTATGGATGTGACATTTGCAGTAAAAATTCTAAACATAAATTCGCAGAGAAAGTATACGTTAACATTATATTGAATCATCTGTTTTCTGTTTTCCATCATTTTCCAAAACAACTAACCACAGAGTTATGGGATCAAAAAAATTCAATCTGTGAACATTTTTATACTTTAAATGAGGAAAATAAACAAGCGTTATGGATGTGACAAAAAAAGTCTGCGAGTTTACAGTATACAACATATTTTGTAGAAATTCTGTGAATTAAACTGCACAACCCAAAATAAATAATGCTCAACAAAAGCATAACAGTTGGCTCTTTATAGAACAAAACTGATTGATTTTATTTTATTTTGACATTTTTGCATTTTTGAGGGAAAAGCTTTGTTATGGATGTGACACTTTTTCGTTATGGATGTGAAATTGCCATTTGTTTGACTTTGGTAAATCAAATATAATAGTTTAAAAACATTGACAGAGACATTTTTAAGTATTTTTAAAGTACTGTAAAACACTTGCCTGCGCAAAAAATGTAGAAACGGTTTCGCTATTTTGGTGAAAACATTTTTCTTTTCATGGCAAGGTTGACATTTTCATGGAATTGCTCATACATACTTTTCCCATTGATTTTATACTGACCTACTGTCATTATCTGTAAATAAATGCTCAATATTTTCACATTTGAAATTTTTAAGAAACCTCATCAGTAGATGTGTAAAACACACACAACTGAACACTATTAATGGCAAATGTGTATTATTCTAACCTTGATAAGCAGCAGGTTTATATTTATTTATTACATATATTTATTTAAGTGCTAGTGGATCCGTAGTTTTACATTGTAGTTTTGATATTTTTGCATTATTTTCTTTCAGGGTTTTCCAGGTATTAAAGGAGATCGAGGTGAACGAGGAGAGAGAGGAGAAAAGGTACAGCACAGTACATTTACTGTACATCAGCACATGAATCATACTTTCATACACATTTATTTATTTAATTCATTCGTTTATTTAATGACCACATATACAGTGCCCTCCACTTACATTAACACAACACAATTCATTTAGGCAGAGGGAGAGAGAGATCATATGAATGAATGAACGAACGAACAAACTATTTTGGTCCAACTGTGCATAAATCACAACACATGGACATGATATTCAAGGCTTACTGGTCAAAAAAAGCCTAGATTTGAAGAAGTTGGGCAGAGAACTTTTCTGTCATAAACTATACAGATCAACTTGTCAAATGTGCTTGGCAGCAAAGTTGCGAGAAAAAGAAATATCATTGCTTAAGGATGTTATGTACAAGATTGTTTTTATAAAGTAAAACCAGCAAACAGATTAAATAGAGCAGCAAATTCTCAAACCTCAGGGGCCTGTACCAAGAAGCTGGATTAGCTTGCTAGCTAATTAAGTTTCAGTTTAGCTTGACTTGGGTTTCAGGTATTATGATGTCAGCTTGACTTTAATCACTCCATGTTGGCATGGTACTATGGAGCAGCTGAGCTGAGCTACGTTCATGGTACCTAAAACCCAGAATTGGTGCAAACTAAGGGCTTACTCACACTATGCCATCCGTACCGTGCCCAGGCCCGTTTCCTGGATCGTTTGAGAAGTGTGAGTGCGCTTGGCCGGCCCTGGCCCGGTTGGAAGAGGTGTGCCTGAGCCCGGTTCACTTGGGCTTTGCGCGGTACGCTTGTGTGTGAGTGCAAAACGCGCCAAAGCCCGAAACTGAAAGCGAGACGTGACTTTTAAGGCACTGTTCTTATTGATTTATTAATAATTCTTACTGTTCAGTGAACGCAAACTGCCGTAGTTTATTAAAGACGCAAACCCCTCACTGCACGACTGCTGCGCGCCTTCAGCAGACCTCCTCGTTCCTGCAGCACGAGAGCTTTATGATTGTTTATGAGCGCCAAAAGTGGCGGATCTGTTCGGCGAAATATCTAAATGCGTGTCACCGCATCCCTAAGGACTGTGGCGAAATATTTGACGGCATATCAAACGACTGAAACGATATAACTAGAGAAATCTCCACTGTGCTGCTGAGTGAGAGAGCGCTTCTCACTGAACAGCGAAGCAGCGATGACGTAAGCGTGCCGAAGCCCGTTTGTGGTGTCAGCGCGGGCCGTCGGGGGAGACGGGAGGGGGGGACAAGCGTGCTTTGGCCCTGTTCGAGGCAACTGTACCTAGTGTGAGTACGGCGTAAAACTTAACATGCTAGCCAGTCTTGGCCAGAGGAGAAATGGTCCTGCCAAACTGAGCCTGGTTTCCCTCAAGGTTTTTTCCTTTCATCAGTTGGTAAAGTTTTGTTCGTTGCCACTTTCGCCACTGGCTTGCTTGGTTTTTGGACTTGTGAAGCTGCACATCGATGGATTTGATCTTCAGTGTTTGGACTTTCAGCAGTGAAAATTAAACCCAACTATCCTAAGAGAGTGTGTCTGTGCATGGACATCATCAGGAAGGCTATTGCCGAGCTTAGGAGCCATAAATGAGAAGCCTCAACCTCCTTTAGTAGATTTTAGAAATTAGCTCTTTCATGCTCCGTAGTCAGCAACAGTCCAGTCTACTTTTAGATATGCACTAGCAAACTTCCATTCACTTGTTCCCCCTGGGAATCACTGATGCCATTTTAAAGTGCGTTCCACTTCATCAAGTGAAAGGAGGAAGTTGACATGGACATACTCACGATCCCTTGATTTGACAGAGGGAGTGAGTTGGCTTCATATGCCCACTCCAGCACCTATATGTCCCAGAACGCAACGCGATTGTGATGTCACAACAGTGTAGTTCCCAAGTGCTTAAGGCAGGGGTCTCCAAACTTAGTCCTGGAGGGCCAGTGTCCTGCTGAGTTTAACTCCAACTTGCTTTAACACACCTGCCAGGATGTATATTATATTATAATATATTATATTATAATATATGTTTATTTAGGGCGAAGCAGTGGCGCAGTAGGTAGTGTTGTCGCCTCACAGCAAGAAGGTCGCTGGTTCAAGCCTCGGCTCAGTTGGCGTTTCTGTTTCTAAAGGGACTAAGCCGACAAGAAAATGAATGAATATATTTATTTTATTTATTTTATTTATTTATTTATTTTTTTTGATGCACAAAAGTGTTCTTGGAGCTTCATATGATTACAGTTGAGCACTGAAGTTGTAGCACTGGGATGTTTTGACAATGTTTTTGGTTTCATTTCTGATCTCTGAACATCTCTGGGTATATCTAAAGTATGTTCATTTGTGTTCCAGTGATAAACAAAAGTCTCAGGGGATTGGAACAACATGAATAATTAATAGAGATTTCAAGAGTTCACACTTAGCTGATGATTTATAAAAGCTTGTTTGGCATGTTGTCCCGGGAGAGAGCCCTGAGCTCAAGGGCTCCTCGAGCCCGGGGCTTCCTCCCGTTGGCAGAGCAAGAGGGGAGCCTGAGCTCGGTGGATCTCAGAACTCCCCTGCTGCGGTAGTTAAGGGAACAAAAGGGATTAGACAAAGCTTGATTGTTATGTATGTTGAATGTCTTTGGATGGTGGGAGGACACCGGAGAATCCGGGGAAAACCCACGCGGACACGGGGAGAACATACAAACTCCTCAAAAAAACACCCACCGGTCCTGTGGAACCAGGGCTGGCAGTGTTCTTGCTGTGGGGCTCACAGTGCTAACCATTGGGCCGCTGTGCCACCCAATCAGAGGTAAAGGAGGAGAATAGGGAGGAGGGGGGTTTCTTCCAAACGAAGATAAAATGGACTGAAAACTGTGGCTATTTATATTAGCTTAGGGCTCATATGATTGGAAGATAGTGATTAGCAAATGTGAGACCGGCCGAGATAAATCATAAGCACGTGATCCTCTCGAAATTAGTTTATGAATAAACTTCACTTTATTTTTGGGTGAACTAACTCTTTAATATTTTAATCAAAAGGTTAACAATAAAAAGGTCTTTACCACGCGTACCAGTATTAGCGGACAGCATTGAGCCTCTTAAAATAATCTTGTTGACTGGATGTCTCTGGTTTGACAGGGGGATCGTGGTCCTGTAGGAAAGAGAGGCCTGAAGGGGAAGAAAGGCGAGCAGGGGCCGCCAGGTCTGGATCAACCCTGTCCTGTGGTGCGTGCTAAAGCTACTTTTCACATGTTTATACGTGTTGATGGTTCACAGATTCATACTGCTGAAAATCAGGAGGAAAAACATTCCTGGTAATTCTGTCAGGAACAACAAAGCGTGAGCTCAGACATTTTACAGACGCATCTTTTTCCCCTCTTTTACAAGTTTCCTCGCTTGACTTCTGTATGTTTCCTTAAGCTGATGTTCTCTCGAGTGTGTGTTTAGTCATTATGGTAGCGTTTATTGTGTGTATGTGCTCTGGCTGACAGGGAGATGAAGGATGTAAGAAAGAGGCAGTAGAAGCGGGGTCTTCAGCTCCTGAGGCCCCCTGCCCGCTGGTACAGTATTCCTGCATGCAGATTTATAACACTTCCTCATTTCTCCTTTTTAACTGCTCTTTTTCAACTGTCTTATGTTTGTCATCTCTATGCTCGGCTAATTATAGACTTTTCACAGGGTCCTAAAGGGAGGGTCAACCCAAAAATATTTCGCCAACATTTATTCCCACTTCACTTGAGTTTCTATTGTTGAACTTAGAAGACATTTTGAAAACTGCTGGTTGCTGACACTCATTGACTCAAAGTCCTTAAGGGCAAGTCATTTCACTTAGCGGCCATCTTTAAAACGTCTCTTAGACAGTGTACTTGGGTAATCTGCTTGAATGGGGAAACATCAATTTCTGCAAAATTGCTCACCAAGCGTATTAATAAATTTAATATTAGAAATCACCAGTAAAATTAAACAACAACTGTCTCTTTAGTTTCATTTCTAAACTCACATCTGTTCTGACCCCCTCCCCCAGAGAATCCTCAGTCTATAGTGATCAATAGCTCCTTTCACACAGTGATACCGGTAAATATATGGAAAATTTCTGGAACGACTTTACCAGTAAATTGAAAAAAGCGCTGTTCACACAGGCGAGGACGTTACAGAATTTTTCCGGAAAAGAGCATTCACACATCCATTCCAAAATACCGGTAAATTCTGACATCATTAACCAGAAATGAGCTCTAAACTGCTACGCTTGTATTTGTAAACATTTGACACCATCACAAACTCTGTGGATGGATGAGTATTGTGAACAACTTCGATGAAAACATATAGAGAAACACTTTCGCATGTCGAGATGTACAGGATATGTGTGTGTGCTCATGGGCTGTTTCATGGGCACACGCAAAGCTTGAAGTTAAACAACGGCTTATTATAAGCATCTTATCGATAATTAATTACACGGTTGGCATTAAGATGAACATATTAACGTTATCTGACTAATTTCTAGCAGCTAAATGTGTCTGGAAAAATATTCAAAAGCTTTTATTCTCATAAACCGCGCGGACGTGAATGCTTCTGACTGTTCTGATTGGCTAAAGCAGACGTCTCACGTCAGCACGTCCTAGACATGCACGCGCTCTTTCTGGCAATCTTCCTTTTGCATTCACACAGCGCAGCATTCTGGCAAATTACTGGTAATGTTACAACTTCTCTTTCTGGAAAAAAGCCAGAACGAATTTACCGGTATTTTCAAAAAGGGCTTGTTCACACATACAACCTTTCCGGAAAAATGCCAGTAATTTTCCGGAAAGGTGTGTATGTGCGAAAGGGGCTAATGATTGGCTCCTTTACTGGAAGGTGGGGCTTCATTTGCCATATTGACTGTCACACTTTACGTTACGAGTGACATGCGTTGTGTAATCTATAGTCTTTGATTGACTTCTGTAGTAAATACAGTTGTTGTCAGAATTATTTTTTTTGTATATATATTTTTATTAAGTTTTTGCTTTTATATACATATAAACAAATTATAATAAATAAATAAAATAACATCCTTGCAAAATAATGATGATTTAATGACAACAACAGTTAAACAAATAACAAAAAAACAAACAAAAAGGTACAGTTCAGCTCACAAACACAAATAGGGCTTTACAGGTGCCTATATACATACATGGGAGTTCAGTAGGTCTGGAAAATTTAAAGAATATTGAAGTATTAATAGTAAGTGTGAAGCAATCAATAAAACCAACCATGACATTCTTAAATAAATCCTCTTGTCAGAATTGAAGCAATATCAAAATCAATATATGCCAGGAAAGGTTCCCAGATTTTATGAAAAACTCCACTTTTGTTATGTAGTCAGAATTATTAGCCCCCCTTTGAATTTTTTTTCTTTTTTAAATATTTCCCAAATGATGTTTGACAGAGCAAGGAAATTTATTAGTTATATATATATAAATATACATTTTAATATGTTTCATATTTGAAGTGCTTTGGCAATACTGTACTTAATGTCATGCCAATAGAGCAACTTGAACTTGAGAGAGAGAGAGAGAGAGAGAGAGAGAGAGAGAGAGAGAGAGAGAGAGAGAGAAAGAGAGAGAGAGAGAGAAAGAGAGAGAGAGAGAGAGAGAGAGAGAGAGAGAGAGAGAGAGAGAGAGAGAGAGAGGGGTGATTTTCAGTTTTGGGTGAACTGTCCCTTTAAAAAGTCTCACTTTTAAATATTTAAATGCTATATGCAGCTGTTTAGTGAGTTTCCACCTAGATTTGTTGTCCCACACCGATACAGGTGTAAATGCTAAGTTTTGGTATAATTTTACAGGAAACTTGTCAAAAAATTAATGTTTGACATTGATGTCTAAAAGTGTTTTAAAAATTGAAGTGCTCCAGAACCCCGTGGGCAACAGGTTTGTGCTTGTTTCCAGCACCTAAGCAGCCAGAAATATGAAGAAATAGAAAATAAATGTCTCCATCATAATCTAGGCAAGAGTTATTCTAGACCAGCTGAAGGAAAGAGTAACACTCAACTCAGTAGATGTGCTGTTGCTGAATAACTCAGACCAGTCTGTCACCAACAACCATGCCGCGTTCAAAGTCACTTAAATCATCCTCATTCTGATGCTCAGTTTGAACTCCAGCAGATCGTCTTGACCATGTCTACATGCCTAAATGCATTCATTTGCCGCCATGTGATTGGCTGATTAGAAATTAGCGTTAACAAACAGTTGGACAGGTGTACCTAATAATGCGGCCAGAAACAACTTACCTGATCAAGCTTTATACAAATTTCCATTATTATTAGTAATGTTACTTGCAAAACACCTCAGATTTTTTTTTGTAATTGAATGTCTTGCTTGTGTTTTAGTGTTATTTTGTGTTTTTGGATGTCTACTAGTTATTGATCATTCATATTAATTCTCAACACAAGGTTTTGTTTATTAACGTTGCGATAGAGATGACAATTGTTCCTTGTTCTTATGTTTTTTTTTTTGTTTTTTTTATTCAAGGGTCCTGATGGTCTTCCAATACCAGGATGCTGGCACAAGGTTAGTAAAAAGTGGGAAAAACTTCCATTATAGTAAATATATAAATATATTATATATATATATATATATATATATATATATATATAAAAACATATATAAAGATATAATCCAGTGTTAATGTGTGAATTTATTTATAATAACAACCATTTCAAATGAAGTGCCTGCAGTGCTTTATAGGGGTGTGACAGAACATTGTGTATGGTGTGACGTCATTTTTGTGTATTATATGAGCTTGTTTATACAGTGTACACTCAGCTTTTTTCAGCATCTTTGTAATACAGATGCACGCTTTAGTAAACCAAACTCATATACTGCATTTAATCCATCTACATCTCATTTATAAATCAAACTCACTTAAATTCTCACTTTTTTGAGGGATAATGTGTGGATTCTTGCCTGTGACAATCTCTGATTGGTTAACAAACGTATAAATCTCAAAGACGACCTGCTTTAGATATAAAACCGGCAAGTTTGTATTTCTACGGTGATAAATGGATGATCACAAGATATTGTGCTTACTGTTTTACTGTTTATCTTCCATGTGTGAGCATTCGATTGTATTAAAATACACACTATGGGCTCTATTTTGACGGTCCATGCGCAGAGCGCAAAACGCAGGGCACAAACACTTTCAGGGCAAGTCAGAGCGCGTTTTTGCTAATTTAAGGACGGGAAAACCTGCTTTGCGCCAAGGCACATGGGCTAAAAGGGTTGAGTTTATTTTCTTAATGAGTTATAGGTGTGTTTTGAGAATAAACCAATTAGAGTCTCATCTCCCATTCCCTTTAAGAGCCAGCTGCGTCGCGCCAAGAGCGCATTCACTATTTACAGGACGCAAAGTAAGTCTAAGTGGAAAAAATTAGCATTTCACTAGCAAACAGTTAACAGTTTTATAACAGAAAACTGTTAAACAGAGCATCTACTGAGTGAGAATGAGAGATAATGGAACTACTTTCACATTCGCTCATGGATAGGGAAACCTTTACGCACAGACATCAATTAGTTTATAAATAAATACTTTTGTTTGTTAAGCGCAAATATTTGTTTCAAAACTATTTCTAATAGTTCTAATTACCAGCAAACGAATAAATGAACAATAATAACAAAATGTGCTCAAAAACCTGAGTTATATCCTAAAACACATGCTGTGCCCCATATGGTCTAAAACCTGACAGGTGGGCAAATCTAAGCTTGTTTTTAATAAAACAAATATAAATATAATAAATAATACTGCTAATAATAGTAACATTATATAAAAGCAAATTGTTATGAATGAACTGAAAAAGCCTCCCGAGATGAAGAAGACATAAAAGCAGTGATTTTTCATATTTATGTAGGCTAGAAAATAATGTTTTGTAATATTTTAATTCTTTATATTTATATTCTATATCTATTCTTATTATATCCTATATATATCCTTAATATTTAAATTTTTTCATATGTAAAGATATTTTTCTATTGCTCTCTTGTGTGTATTAAGCAGTGTGTAAGCGAGGCGCAACTCTGCACCGGAGTTTAGACCGGGTTAGTTTTGGTCTAATGAAAAATCTATTATAGTTTCTCAAAATAGCGACGCGCCAGCGGTCCGCCTCAGAACGCCTTCCTTTTTAGACCAAAACGCCTATGGGCGCACAAATGAGCGCTAATGCATTTGCTATTTAAACAGCGTAGCGCAACGCCTCAAAACGACTCTTGCGCCAAGAGGAAACTACCCAAAGACTATTGCGCCGCGCCTTGCGCCACATTGCGCCGGGTGTATGATAGGGCCCTAGGTGTCTAATTGTATTTCATTAAGTGATATCTTAATACAAACATTCTTTTGCTACCAATATCTCTTGGCAGGCTAGCTTTGCCAGTTTCAGACTGGCAAAATACGAACTATTACAAACTATTATACACTATTTAAATGGTAGACCCCTCAAGTATGTTCATTTTACTTACACTACCAGACAAAAGTCTTGTCGTCGATCTCAGTTGTAAGTGCAACAAATAATAACTTGACTTCTAGTTAATCATTTGGAAAAGTGGCAGAAGGTCGATTTTTCAGATGAATCATCTGTTGAACTGCATCCCAATTATCACAAATACTGCAACCAACATGAACCCAAGATTCTCACAGAAATCAGTCAAGTTTGGTGAAGGAAAAATCATGGTTGGGGGTTACATTCAGTATAGGGGCTAATGCTGCCCATTACATTACAAACCACAGGAGAGGGCAAATTCCTCAGCAGGATAGCGCTCCTTCTCATACTTCAGCCTCCACATCAAAGATCCTGAAAGCAAAGAAGGTCAAGATGCTCCAGGATTGGACAACCCAGTCACCTGATATGAATATTATTGAGCATGTCTGGGGTAAGATGGAGAAGAAATTGAAGATGAATCCAACGATTCCAATTCCTATATGGGCCATTTAATGCAAAGATTTGGCACTAATGGCAAAGTGTAATCTGAATGTGAGCCCAATGTGGCCCAAAAAATGATAAATTTAGCCCAAATTATGGAGGACAAATGTGGGCCACAGTTGGCAAAAATGTGGCATAGTCATTTAAGAGTAATCTGGGTCTAAACCTAAAGTGGCTCACACGTGTAGGTGCAAATGTGGCCCAGTTAACTTAAGACATATGTGGACCACATAGACTAAAGTGGCATCATGGAGAAAAGTGTTTGCTTTAGTGTGCTCATAGCCCTGAACCTCTTAATGTAAATTTTCTTTTGGGCTGCTGTAACTTTGAAGAACTTTGCTTGAAAAGTGTATTCATTACAGCAAATAAAATGAAGTGAGGCACAACCTTTGATGAAATAATATAATTCACTGATGCTTACCAATGTTTAATTCATTATTAATAGGCCAGATTTGGGCCAGAATAAAAGCAAATTGTGATCAAGAACAGGGTCAGTTCTGGTTCATTCGGTTAAATTCTGGCTAATATGTGGGTTTTGCTTTGGCTTATTTGTGGCCCATATCTGAAAAACAGGATCGGACCGCCCAAGTGCAATCATTCCTTTCAGTATGTGGTCCAGATGTAAGTGTCTGGTGTGGGCCGGATCTGGGCCAGAATAAAAGCAAACTGTGGCCTACAATAGGGTCAGTTCTGATTTATTTAGTTGAATTCTGGCTAATATGTTGTATTTCTATGGCTTAATTGTGGCCTAGATATGGCAAACAGGAGCGGATCACCCAAGTGCCATCATTCCATGAGCATGCGGTATGTGGGCCGGATTTGAGCCGCATGAATTTTGCTAGCTGGGTATATTCTATACTGTACATTATTTCTGTTAAGTGACAAGACTTTTGTCTAAGCAAAGCCAGACTTTACTGTCTTAATTAAATAATTAAAAATCAAGGCTTGATCATGTTTAATTTTAGTAAAATAAACGTAATCTAGAAGCATTTGCCTTTCAAATTAGCCACTTCTGATACCAAATGATCAACTAGAAGTCAAGTTATTATTAGCTGTTCCTGAAACTTGGATAGGCGACAAGACTTTTGTCAGGTAGTGTACACTGTTAGTGGTGTAATTGTTGCTCACCATCACACTTCTAATGTTGCATTTTTTATTGATCTAATCCCTAATATTGTTTGTTTGTTCTCTTGCAGTGATCTAACGTGTGGCATGACGTCTGTACATATTGATGTGATATATATATTGCAATTTTATACCGCTTTTTTGTTTACATTTTATAAAGACAAGAGACTTTGATAAACATTCATCAGTGTTATTTTTGGACTAAACCTCTTTTTTATTTGAATTTTGGGAGCGCTGATTAATGAATGTCCATTTGAGCTATAGAATACACTTTTTTTCCTCTCGATTTCCTGGAGCACAGTGTTATTCAGCTGCCTGTATGTTGCATGGCATGCCGGAGCAAGCAATACAAGTATTTCGCATCACATTCCACATTATCTTTCTGAAGGAACAGGGAATGATCCAGAAACTCAAGAGGAAACGTCTTTCCCAGCCCTGATGTTCTTCAAGAGCCTCCAAAAGGAGTTTTCATGACTTTATAGTCACTCGAGGTGACGGCATCTCAATAACGTTGGTTAATATTGACTGTCCTCAATGCACAGGTGGAATGAGGGGCGCAGAAACCCTTTCTATGGTCAATACTTTTCACAGAGGATCATAACAGAGATGTTGGACGATCAGGGCTTCATGGATGCAGCTGCTCTGAGGGAAAGCAAGTCTTGCATAAGACGTGGAGATGATTTACAGAACAGCTCAGTTTTGTTTTGTTTTTGAGAATATTGACGAACAGTAATTTATAATGATTGATTTCTTATGTTACTGTTTTATGTGTGTTTTTAAAGCATTTTAAACCATAATCAAAAACACCAGACTTAAACACATACAAAAGCTGAGTTCAGGACGGCGAGCATTATTTTTTTTGATTTTATTGATATTATTATATATGCTGTTAGACATTGTATTGTATTTTTGCGGTAACAATTTACCGCAACTGCCCCTTTACAGTAACTTACGTGTAAATGTGTTTTACAGTAGCAGGAAGCAGTAAAATAAGCAAGAAAAATAGCTTTACCGCAACTTCTTTTAATGGTGAAATGCCCTTTACTACATTTTAATTTTACAATTTGACAATTTTACAGTAGTTTTACTGTAATTTACTTACATTTGGTATTGGTATTAGTATTTACTGAGATTATCATTAACTGTCTCAATTTTGTGTTCAACTACAGTATAGCAGTACTTTGATTACAGTAGATTACCGCAAATTCCTAATATGCAGTAAGTTACTGTTAAATTTTTATAATTACCCTTAATTGATAGCATATTACAGTAGTGAACTGTTAAGAGTGCATGTGGTATTTTACTGGGCGTTTTTGCAGTAAATTACTGTAAAACAAATTGCGGCAAAGTTTAACAGTGTACTCAAGTACTTTGATTACAGGAGGATACCGCAAACTCCTAATCTGCAGTAAGTTACTGTAAAAGTAACCCATTAAAGAACGCATATTACAAGAATACATGTGGTATTTTACTGGCCGATTTTGCAGTAAATTACTGTAAAGAAATTGCGGCAAAGTTTAACAGTGTACTCAAGTATTTTGATTACAGTAGAATACCGCAAATTCCTCACATGCAGTAAGTTACTGTAAAAGTTACCCATAATAAAATGCATATTACAAGAATGTAGGTGGTATTTTACTGGGCTTTTTTACAGTAAATATCTAAAATAAAATGCGGCAAAGTCTTACAGTGTACTCAAGTATTTTGATTATGGTAGGAAACCACAAATTTCTAATATGCAGTAAGTTACTGTAAAAGTTACCCATAATTGAATGCATATTACAGAAGTGAACTGTTAAGAATGCATGTGGTATTTTACTGGGTGTTTTTTTGTAAATTACTGTAAAGAAACTGCGGCAAAGTCTAACAGTGTACTCGAGTACTTTGATTACAGTAGGATATCGCAAATTCCTGATATGCAGTAAGTTACTGTAAAAGTTACCCATAATAGAGCGCATATTATATGTATGTGGTATTTTGTAGGTGGTATTTTACTGTCCGTTTTTACAGTAAATATCTAAAAAAAAATTGCAGGAAAATCTAACAGTGTACTCAAGTATTTGGAGCGCATGTTACAGTAGTGAACTGTAAAGAATGTATGTGGTATTTTACTGGGCGTATTTGCAGTAAATAACGATAAAATCTAACTGTAAGGGAAAGTTCATCCAAAAAAAAAATAATAATAATAACATTAGCTGTTAATTTACTTAGATTTACATAACATTGTCAAGTCAGTGGCTATTTAGAGTCAAAAAACATATACAGGCAAAGCTAAATTAATGCGCATTGCTAATTTAGCGTTTTTTATAATTGACGGAAGTTGGTATATTTATAGTAAATATAAATTTTTTGGGTGAACTATCGCTTTAACAGACCAATCGGTGATAAAAAATTAGATTATTAAATCAGCGCAACAATAGTGTTATATATTCTATCTGATCATTTTTGTTTCTTAAATACTACTGCATTTACGTTTCATTGCTCGTATTTGTTGTGATGCTTTGTATGATATATGTTAACTGTGACTACCTGCCGTTGATTTTTGACGTCACAACTCTCGACACGTATTCCATATTATTGTTCGAAGTAATTTATGTGTTATACTGATGTTTGTTTGGTTGTTTGAAGATGGCGAGTTTTTGTAACCTCAATATCGCCATCTGGAGGACTCAAGTTTAAAGCCGTTTTTAAATTTATTATATTTTACAGCATGAAAGCAAATGAAACCTTCGAGATTCCGCTTTATCGATCTCATTTTCTTTCTCAGAATTGAACGCAGAGAAAAGACATCCAGAAGAGATGTTTTGGTTTTTCTTTAAAGATGTTTTAGCATGTTCTGCATACATTTCCATTATAGAGTTCCCGCTTCTTCAGGGGGATATCGAACGATAAACATAAGCTTTTCTCAAATACTTATTGTTAATAATCAAATAACCAGTGGTCAGTACATATAAACGTTTTTATTTGTGTAACAAACATTTCAGTTCCTAATTTTTATAAGCCTCACGTAGTTTAAATTGGATTTACGTAGTTGTATAGATTGACCAATAGAACTATGGTTACAAAACCGAATTTTTAAAACCTTTTTTGTTTATTGACTTTTAAATTTCTATTTTCCTTCCTGTAAAAGAATGTTTTATTTTTAAAAACATTGAAAAGTTTGCTGCTGACTCAGTATTTGTATTTAATAGTTGATATGGGTGAAGGAAACACTCCTACCACTTGCCTGACAGCAATCACATGCATTCTGTGCTTTTGAAAGTGTTTTATAAAATACAAATTAAAGTTTGTTACTATAGTAAGCGTCACTTGTCTTTCCTCAGACTTTGGTCTTGGTCATAAACACAGTTTCTGGTCTTCTCTTTGTTTGCATGAATATTGTTTAGCTTGGTAATGTCACGTAAAATCAAGAATGCAGTTGGAATGCCAAAATAATGAAAACATTTGAGTTTACTTACTTCATTCTCGCGTCAAATCAGCTTCAATCGCACGTCAAATTTACTTCAGTACAGACGCGGATTCACAGTATGGGCAGGGCTTCTGTCTGCCCAGTGACTTAGCTTTGTTGCTAAATGGCTAATATGGATTTTATGAAGAAAATAACCGTGTTTATGTGCTTTATGAAGGCTGAAAAACAGCGTCAATATGTTTAGGGCCGTGTCTGAGTCCACTAGATCCTTTCAGAAGTGCACCCAGCTCTATGAGCTCATAGTCTTCTGCAGAAACTGAACCTGGATGACGGAGGCTTTCAGCGGTGCTTCTGACCGAGCTGAGCCCAGTTTGATGAACTGTTGTCTTTGCCGGAAGGTGTATTTCCCCACAGGACACCAACAGGCGCTACGTCACAATCACACCCCCACAAGAGAAAGCTCCTAATTGGTTAATGCGGCGCGAATGTCCGCTTAAGTTCAGATTTTGAACTTGAGCGTTTTTTGCTTCAAACGCGCAAAACGCTCAATTCGTGCTACACCAATCACGCATATTACACCAATCGCTCGTGCCATTCACGCAATTTGCGTGATTCACGCCGTGCTATTCACACGTATCGTGCCGCAGGATGTCTATTTGCTCATTTGCATTGACTTAACATGTAAATCACTTGAACTCGACACTTCTTCCATGTCTGGTGTGAACACAGCATTGGACATTTTATTGTATTTTTGCTGGTAACATAAATGGTAACAATATTGCCAGCAAGTGACTATAACTGCCCCTTTACAGTAACTTACCTGTAAATGTGTTTTGCAGTAGCAGGGCCCTACCACAATTTCATTTTTTTTTTTAACCGTAAAATAGTCACTGCAACTTCTTTTTATGGTAAAATGCCCTTTACCACATTTTGATTTTACAGTATGACAATTCTTACAGTAGTTTTATTGTAATTTAATTACATTCTACACTAGCAGTACAGAACTTTTTTATTCATCAACTGTCTTCAACTACAGTATAGCAGTACTTGATTACAGTAGAATACTGCAAACTCCTAATATGCAGAAAGTTACAGTAAAGGTTTTAAAATTACCCAGAATGCAGAGCATATTACAGTAGTGAACTGTCAAGAACATTTGTGGTATTTTACTAGCCATTTTTGAATAACAATTTACCGCAACTGCCCCTTTACAGTAACTTAAATGTGTTTTACAGTAGCAGGAAGCAGTAAAATAAGCAAGACAAATAGCTTTACCGCAACTTCTTTTAATGGTGAAATGCTCTTTACTACATTTTAATTTTACAATATGACAATTTTACAGTAGTTTTACTGTAATTTACTTACATTTTACATTGGTATTAGTATTTACTGAGTTTATCAATAACTGTATCATTTTTGTGTTCAACTACAGTATGGCAGTAATTTGATTACAGTAGATTACTGCAAATTCCTAATATGCAGTAAGTTACTGTTAAATTTTTATAATTACCCTTAATTGATAGCATATTACAGTAGTGAACTGTTAAGAGTGCATGTGGTATTTTACTGGGCGTTTTTGCAGTAAATTACTGTAAAACAAATTGCGGCAAAGTTTAACAGTGTACTCAAGTACTTTGATTACAGGAGGATACCGCAAACTCCTAATCTGCAGTAAGTTACTGTAAAAGTAACCCATTAAAGAACGCATATTACAAGAATACATGTGGTATTTTACTGGCCGATTTTACAGTAAATTACTGTAAAGAAATTGCAGCAAAGTTTAACAGTGTACTCAAGTATTTTGATTACAGTAGAAAACCGCAAATTCCTGACATGCAGTAAGTTACTGTAAAAGTTACCCATAATAAAATGCATATAACAAGAATGTAGGTGGTATTTTACTGGGCGTTTTTTTCAGTAAATACCTCAAATAAAATGCGGCAAAGTCTTACAGTGTACTCAAGTATTTTGATTACGGTAGGAAACCACAAATTTCTAATATGCAGTAAGTTACTGTAAAAGTTACCCATAATTGAATGCATATTACAGTAGTGAACTGTTAAGAATGCATGTGGTATTTTACTGGGTGTTTTTTTGTAAATTACTGTAAAGAAATTGCGGCAAAGTCTAATAGTGTACTCGAGTACTTTGATTACAGTAGGCTATCGCAAATTCCTGATATGCAGTAAGTTACTGTAAAAGTTACCCATAATAGAGCGCATATTATATGTATGTGGTATTTTGTAGGTGGTATTTTACTGGCCGTTTTTACAGTAAATATCTAAAAAAAAATTGCAGGAAAATCTAACAGTGTACTCAAGTATTTGGAGCGCATGTTACAGTAGTGAACTGTAAAGAATGTATGTGGTATTTTACTGAGCGTATTTGCAGTAAATAACGGTAAAATCTAACTGTAAGGGAAAGTTCATCCAAAAAAAAAAAGAATAATAATAACATTAGCTGTTAATTTACTTAGATTTACATAACATTGTCAAGTCAGTGGCTAATTAGTGTCAAAAAACATATATAGGCAAAGCTAAATTAATGCGCATTGCTAATTTAGCGTTTTTTATAATTGACGGAAGTTGGTATATTTATAGTAAATATAAATTTTTTGGGTGAACTATCGCTTTAACAGACCAATCGGTGATAAAAATTTTGATTATTAAATCAGCGCAACAACAGTGTTATATATTCTATCTGTTCATTTTGTATTTCTTAAATACTACTGCATTTACGTTTCATTGCTCGTATTTGTTGTGATGCTTTGTATGATATATGTTAACTGTGACTACCTGCCGTTGATTTTTGACGTCACAATTCTCGACACGTATTCCATATTATTGTTCGAAGTAATTTATGTGTTATACTGATGTTTGTTTGGTTGTTTGAAGATGGCGAGATTTTGTAACCTCAATATTGCCATCTGGAGGACTCAAGTTTAAAGCCGTTTTAAATTTGTTATATTTTACAGCATGAAAGCAAATGAAACCTTCGAGATTCCGCTTTATCGATCTCATTTTCTTTCTCAGAATTGAACGCAGAGAAAAGACATCCAGAAGAGATGTTTTGGTTTTTCTTTAAAGATGTTTTAGCATGTTCTGCATACATTTCCATTATAGAGTTCCCGCTTCTTCAGGGGGATATCGAACGATAAACATAAGCTTTTCTCAAATACTTATTGTTAATAATCAAATAACCAGTGGTCAGTACATATAAACGTTTTTATTTGTGTAACAAACATTTCAGTTCCTAATTTTTATAAGCCTCACGTAGTTTAAATTGGATTTACGTAGTTGTATAGATTGACCAATAGAACTATGGTTACAAAACCGAATTTTCAAAACCTTTTTTGTTTATTGACTTTTAAATTTCTATTTTCCTTCCTGTAGAAGAATGTTTTATTTTTAAAAACATTGTAAAGTTTGCTACTGACTCAGTATTTGTATTTAATAGTTGATATGGGTGAGGGAAACACTCCTACCACTTGCCTGACAGCAATCACATGCATTCTGTGCTTTTGAAAGTGTTTTATAAAATACAAATTAAAGTTTGTTACTATAGTAAGCGTCACTTGTCTTTCCTCAGACTTTGGTCTTGGTCATAAACACAGTTTCTGGTCTTCTCTTTGTTTGCATGAATATTGTTTAGCTTGGTAATGTCACGTAAAATCAAGAATGCAGTTGGAATGCCAAAATAATGAAAACATTTGAGTTTACTTACTTCATTCTCGCGTCAAATCAGCTTCAATCGCACGTCAAATTTACTTCAGTACAGACGCGGATTCACAGTATGGGCAGGGCTTCTGTCTGCCCAGTGACTTAGCTTTGTTGCTAAATGGCTAATATGGATTTTATGAAGAAAATAACCGTGTTTATGTGCTTTATGAAGGCTGAAAAACAGCGTCAATATGTTTAGGGCCGTGTCTGAGTCCACTAGATCCTTTCAGAAGTGCACCCAGCTCTATGAGCTCATAGTCTTCTGCAGAAACTGAACCTGGATGACGGAGGCTTTCAGCGGTGCTTCTGACCGAGCTGAGCCCAGTTTGATGAACTGTTGTCTTTGCCGGAAGGTGTATTTCCCCACAGGACACCAACAGGCGCTACGTCACAATCACACCCCCACAAGAGAAAGCTCCTAATTGGTTAATGCGGCGCGAATGTCCGCTTAAGTTCAGATTTTGAACTTGAGCGTTTTTTGCTTCAAACGCGCAAAACGCTCAATTCGTGCTACACCAATCACGCATATTACACCAATCGCTCGTGCCATTCACGCAATTTGCGTGATTCACGCCGTGCTATTCACACGTATCGTGCCGCAGGATGTCTATTTGCTCATTTGCATTGACTTAACATGTAAATCACTTGAACTCGACACTTCTTCCATGTCTGGTGTGAACACAGCATTGGACATTTTATTGTATTTTTGCTGGTAACATAAATGGTAACAATATTGCCAGCAAGTGACTATAACTGCCCCTTTACAGTAACTTACCTGTAAATGTGTTTTGCAGTAGCAGGGCCCTACCACAATTTCATTTTTTTTTTTAACCGTAAAATAGTCACTGCAACTTCTTTTTATGGTAAAATGCCCTTTACCACATTTTGATTTTACAGTATGACAATTCTTACAGTAGTTTTATTGTAATTTAATTACATTCTACACTAGCAGTACAGAACTTTTTTATTCATCAACTGTCTTCAACTACAGTATAGCAGTACTTGATTACAGTAGAATACTGCAAACTCCTAATATGCAGAAAGTTACAGTAAAGGTTTTAAAATTACCCAGAATGCAGAGCATATTACAGTAGTGAACTGTCAAGAACATTTGTGGTATTTTACTAGCCATTTTTGAATAACAATTTACCGCAACTGCCCCTTTACAGTAACTTAAATGTGTTTTACAGTAGCAGGAAGCAGTAAAATAAGCAAGACAAATAGCTTTACCGCAACTTCTTTTAATGGTGAAATGCTCTTTACTACATTTTAATTTTACAATATGACAATTTTACAGTAGTTTTACTGTAATTTACTTACATTTTACATTGGTATTAGTATTTACTGAGTTTATCAATAACTGTATCATTTTTGTGTTCAACTACAGTATGGCAGTAATTTGATTACAGTAGATTACTGCAAATTCCTAATATGCAGTAAGTTACTGTTAAATTTTTATAATTACCCTTAATTGATAGCATATTACAGTAGTGAACTGTTAAGAGTGCATGTGGTATTTTACTGGGCGTTTTTGCAGTAAATTACTGTAAAACAAATTGCGGCAAAGTTTAACAGTGTACTCAAGTACTTTGATTACAGGAGGATACCGCAAACTCCTAATCTGCAGTAAGTTACTGTAAAAGTAACCCATTAAAGAACGCATATTACAAGAATACATGTGGTATTTTACTGGCCGATTTTACAGTAAATTACTGTAAAGAAATTGCAGCAAAGTTTAACAGTGTACTCAAGTATTTTGATTACAGTAGAAAACCGCAAATTCCTGACATGCAGTAAGTTACTGTAAAAGTTACCCATAATAAAATGCATATAACAAGAATGTAGGTGGTATTTTACTGGGCGTTTTTTTCAGTAAATACCTCAAATAAAATGCGGCAAAGTCTTACAGTGTACTCAAGTATTTTGATTACGGTAGGAAACCACAAATTTCTAATATGCAGTAAGTTACTGTAAAAGTTACCCATAATTGAATATTACAGAGCATATTACAGTAGTGAACTGTCAAGAACATTTGTGGTATTTTACTAGCCATTTTTGCAGTAAATAACTAAAATTGCGACAGTTAACAGTGTACTCAAGTTAGTTGATTACAGTATAATACCGCAAACTCCTGATGTGCAGTAAGTTACTGTAAAAGTTTTTAAATGACCCACAATGCAGTGCATATTACAGTAGTGAACTGTAAAAAATGTATGTGGCATTTTACAAGGCAGTTTTGCAGTAAATAACTAAAATTCCTGCAAAACCTAACAGTGTGGTTTTGCGTTAAACCTGTGTGCTGCTTACGTTCGTAAATAAATCAAATATCACAACCAAACGTTTTCATTGTGCTTGTCAGCAATGTTTTATTACAGGAATCAAATACTCGAACTGAGCGTTATGGAACAGATAATATGATAACTATGCAACACGTGACTGGTGTTAAAATGGTTTGGCCTGAGATGCAAAAGCCACTTCGGTTTACAAAATTGAAGATAATCATATAAAAGAAAAAGAAAACAAACTACAAATTGAGCACAGAGTGGAATATTGTAAAGCCAAAATATTTCCACTACAAATATACAAAAACAGCTAAACGATTCCAGCTTCGGCATACACAGCAAACCTTCGAAATAGTACTTGGCTGTTGTGTGCGATAATGTACAATACACAAAAAGTATACAGGGGGGGAAAATATGTGTGTGAAACCCAGTGATAGGAATGAGATGCTTTCAGCATGCTGATACAAACGATGCTGTAGCTTATTGCACACGGGGAACACACCACAGAAATCACCAGCTCAATCTGATGTCATCCATTAATAAAGTAATAATCTGCATTAAAAGAACACCACTTTTTTTAAGAAAAAGGCTAATTTTACAACTTAGAGTTGATTAGTTGAGTTTTACTATTTTAAACCTATTCAGCCAATCTCGGGGTCTGGCGGTAGCACTTAGCTTAGCATAAATCATTGAATTGGATTAGACCAATAGCATTTCGCTCAAAAAAAATTATTTATTTTTCATGTCGATAGGGTTAGGAACTATACTCTTATTCTTGCGTAATAATACAATTCCTAGCCAGATCGGGGAACTACACTCTCATTCTGGTGTAATAACACAGTTCCTAGCCTTATCGGGGAACTATACTCTCATTCTGGTGTAATAATAGAATTCTTAGCTTTATCGTGGAACTATGATCTCATTCTGGTGTAATAATAGAGTTCCTAGCCATATCAGGGATCTATACTCTTATTCTGGTGTTATAATAGAGTTCCAAGACATAATGGAGACCTATACTCTCATTCTGGTGTAATAATAAGAGTTCTTAGCCATATCGTGGAACTATACTCTCATTCTGGTGTAATAATAGAGTTCCAAGCCATATCGGCGAACTATACTCTCATTCTGGTGTAATAATAGAGTTCTTAGCCATATCAGGGATCTATACTCTCATTCTGGTGTAATAATAGAGTTACAAGCCATATCAGGGGTCTATACTCTTATTCTGGTGTTATAATATAGTTCCTAGCCATATCGGCGAACTATACTCTCATTCTGGTGTAATAATAGAGTTCTTAGCCATATCAGGGATCTATACTCTCATTCTGGTGTAATAATAAAGTTACAAGCCATATCAGGGGTCTATACTCTTATTCTGGTGTTATAATATAGTTCCTAGCCATATCGGCGAACTATACTCTCATTCTGGTTTAATAATAGAGTTCCTAGCCATATCAGGGATCTATACTCTCATTCTGGCTTAATAATATAGTTCCAAGGCATATCGAGGAACTATACTCTCGTTCTGGTGTAATAATAGAGTTCCAAGACATATCAGGGGTCTATACTCTTATTCTGGTGTTATAGTTCCTAGGCATATCGGGGAACTATACTCTCATTCTGGTGTAATAATAGAGTTCTTAGCCATACCTAGGAACTATACTCTCATTCTGGTGAAAGAATAGAGTTCCTAGCCATATCAGTCTTGAAAATAGCAACTTCCGTTTTCCGTTAACAGAAAAGTCAAGCTTTAAATAGCAAAATTATAACTTATTTTTACATTTTTTAGCGAGATGCCAACGGTCCATTCCTATTCAATTATTTATGCTAAGCTAAGCTAAAAGTGCTCCTGTTAAACCCAGATATCGACTGAATGGATTGAAAAATGGTAAAACTCAACTATTAAACTTCAGATGACTTGTAAAAATGAGCCTAGCTGCAAAAAAAGTGCAGAGTTTCTCTAAACAAAACAAATCACAAAAACGGCACTTAAACATGTTTCAGCTACGTGGAAAAATGGATACCTGACAGTGTCTAGTCAATTCTGACCTTAAGATTGCATGTTGTGTTGTTTGCGACAGTATGTTACGCTATTGATGTGCTTAATAACCACAACGAACTGCTGTCACTGGTAAAACTCCATGAATCGAATGAAAATGTAGTTATTACACCATAAGCTTTTGAAAATGGACCACAAAACTCGGAATTACTGTTAACGGATGAACTGGTGATGAACGCATCTCACATCTATTTCGAAATTAAAGCGAATCTGTAAATATGCATATTCAGATTTTCTATCTGTTACCACAGTTAATTGAGAGCATTTACTTTGTCAGAGCATATAGTAATAATAATAATAAAAACAAATCGAAATGTACAGAAAAAAAGTGTTCAATCGGTTACTATAATAGGAAAGGGAGATAAAAATAACTATCGAGGATGTTTGGCACTAATTGTAGAGATTCTACATCTCTAATCTAATTTAAGGGGTAATTCTATTTAAGTTATGTGCCGAAAAAGATGCGTTTTGAATGTGTGTGTGGCTACTCACACATTTAAACAGCAGTAAGAGTGGGATCTGTCAGTTTTGGAGAGGAAGCTTGAGAGAAAAGTGTGTGTGTGTGTGTGTGTGTGTGTGTGTGTGTGTGTGAGTATGGAGTTCAGAAACCGGAGGGGGTGAGAATGTTCATGTCTCTGTGTCTCAGTCTGTGAGAGGTTTTCTTGGCCTCCTCGCCGCTCATCTCGATCTTAGGAGATTTGAAGTTGGCGGGATCTTCAACGCTCAGGTTTATTTGGGTCTTGAGGGCATCCATCGTGTTGGACTTCTGAAGCCCAAAGAAAGACTGCAGAGGAAATCCCCCTGTATTGAAGAAAAGAAAAAAAATTCACATTAAGGCACAATCCTGGCCTTATTTATTTTATATACCCCTATTCACGATATACAAATAATTTAAAAGTGTATTCATTCAATTGAGCACATGAGTTTTAGGCTATTCCTATTTTAGAATTAGTTTCGAAGTTTAACTTTAACAAAGAGGAACAGATACTGTAATTATTGTATTGTTCTTTATTTGTTCATGTTAGAAAATACATTCACTAACAAACTAATGAAACCTTATAGTAAAGTGTGACTGTTTTCCTTTTGCAACCAGTTACATTCATTTAAAAAGTAACTGACTACCATAATTTAAGTTCGCAATGACACTCATACGGTGTACCTGGAAAGTCTTCACAGTGCTTCACTGTTTCCACATTTTTTATGTTACAGCCTTATTCCAAAATGGATTAAATTCATTTATTTCCTCAACATTCTACACACGACACATATAACAAAACACAATCACATATACAGAAGTATTCACAGCCTTTGCGGTGAAGCTCTAAATTGAGCTCAGGTACATTCTGTTTCCACTGATCATTCTTTTGAGATGCTTCAGCAGCTTAATTGGAGTTCACCTGTGGTAAATTCAGTTGATTGGACATGATTTGAAAAGGCTTACACCTGTCTATATAAGGGCCCAGGGTTGACAGTGCATGTCAAAGCACAAACCAAGCATGAAGACAAAGGAATTGTCTGTCGACCTCTGAGACAGGATTGTCTCGAGGCACAAGGCTGGGGAAGGTTTCTGCTGCTCTGAAAGTTTTAATGAGCACAGCGGCCTCTATCATCCATAAGTGGAAGATGTTAGAACCACCAGGACTCTTCCTAGAGCTGGCCTGCCATCTAAGCTGAGTGATCGAGGGAGAAGGGGCTTAGTCACTGAGGTAATCAATAACCCGATGGTCACTCTATCTGAGGTCCACCATTCTTCTGTGGAGAGAGGAGAATCTTAGAGAAGGACAACCATCTGTGCAGAAATCAACCAATCAGGCCTGTAGGGTAGAGTGGCCAGTGAAGCATGGTGGTGGCAGCATCATGCTGTAGAGATGTTTTTAGCAGCAGGAACTGGAAGACTATTCAGGATAGAGGCAAAAATGAATGCAGCAATGTACAGAGACATCCTGAATGAAAACCTGCTTCAGAGTGACCTCAGACTGGGGCGATGGTTCATCTTTCAGCAGGACGATGATTCAAAGCACATGGCCAAAAATATCAATGGAGTGGCTTCACAACAACTCGGTGAATGTGCTTGAGTGGCCCAGCCCATTACACTTCATAAAAGCAGTCTGGAGAAACAAATATTGACTCACACTCTCCCTTTGTACATGTCATCGGAGGAGGAAAGCCCCGCCCATTAGTGACGATCTGAACCTCATTAGCATAAACTTACCTGAGTAAAAAGCATTCATTCATTCATTCATTTAATTTCTTGTCGGCTTTGTCCTTTTATGAATCCGGGGTCGCCACAGCGGAATGAACCGCCAACTTATCCAGCAAGTTTTTACGCAGCGGATGCACTTCCAGCTGCAACCAATCTCTGGGAAACATCCACACACACATTCACACATACACTATGGACAATTTAGCCTACCCAATTCACCTGTACCGCATGTCTTTGGACTGTGGGGGAAACCGGAGCACCCGGAGGAAACCCACGCGAAGGCAGGGAGAACATGCAAACTCTACACAGAAACGCCAACTGAGCCGAGGTTCGAACCAGCGACCTTCTTGCTGTGAGGCGACAGCACTACCTACTGCGCCACTGCCTCGCCGAGTGAAAAGCAGCCATCTGCTATTAGAGTTTTTGTGATGTACCTGCTAAAGATAATGTCAGCGACTGAGAAGCATTATAAGTGTCGAGTTTTGATCCTTTTTAGCGTTTTGACATTTTCTATAACAGTTTTCAACATTTAAAAAAAATTGCTCATATAAAAAAAAGTTTACATGAAAGCAATTCTGAATATAGTTGCGAAGTATAATTTTTAACTCAGAGTCGCAGAAAACTAGCTTTAAAACAGTAGTCTTTATCCAAATTAAGCACATTTTATTTTTCTGTTTCTAGCTCACACCAAGGCCTGCACCGTCACAATCTAATTTGAAAAAAGATTTGAATAATTCATTTAGGTATAATTAAATTAAGAATTAATTAATTTGAGATTTGATTCAGAATTGCTAAACAATCATGTTGCATCCATAAACTGATTATTCCACCACCCCTAGTGTTTTAGCAATTACCTTTCTTGTTTTCACATTCGACAGTCCTCCCTCAAAACAGCAGGAAAAAACCCTTTTGCAAATATACTGAAATGGGTGGTTCATGACACTTTTGAAACACTAGGGGCTTTGTGTGATAATGCAGAGGAAGAGGAGGCCAAACAGGATGCGAAGTAAAGTGGGGTTTGGGTTGGCTTGATCCCACTGTGAAAGATGTCAAAATAAGATGAATGGGGGTGAGCCCTTTACTAGTGAAAAATAGTTTTCACTGATCTGTATCTTAAAAAATTATATTAATAATTCAAATAATGGATAATATAAATATACATTTGACCACCCCTAGAATGGTTTACACCATTGTAAATGCATAAAATCGCACCAATCAATCTATATGTGAATTCAACAGTCATTCAACAGTCTGAAACCGGCAGATCTAGAGCACCGATATACACCGTGAGTGTTTACAAGACACTTTTATTGTAAAACAGTTGTTTTTTTTCTAAATATAGCCTAAAAGTGAAGTAAAAATAGATGCATAGTTTGTATAGTTTCACCTACAATAACCTCTGAAAGAGCTAATCAGAGGTTACTGTAGGTCAGAATACACTAAATATCCCTCAAAACACTAAAAACTTCAATACATTTTAATAAAAAGTATATGTATCTTAAATAAATACTTAAATTTGACTCACTGACACATGTATTACATAAACTATCATTGACCCCCAAATTGTCAATATATAATTCGCACCCTGAGGCCAAACTATCACCGTGAGGGCAAATCATCAGATAACATGTACTGAATTTTAGGATGTGTTGCATGTGAATAGCAGACCTACACTGGTCTATTACATCGTTGAGGAAAGATATTTAAAATTTTTACCAGGGGTGTTTGTTTCTGATCCTGGGTCAGTGGGGGATTTTTGCACGATGGGCCGCACACCGAAGAAGCTCCATCGCTCTCCTCCTCGTCCACCTCCTTCATTACCACCCATAGAAACGCTTGCGACGAGACTGCTGGACTCAAACAGAGTATTAGGGGAGAGGACTCTGGCTAAACCAGTGCCTGCTGGAGGACAAAAAGAAAAAGATTATGAAGATTATCAAGAGAAAGATTTAGAGAGGCACTATACATTGTTTAAGCATTGCGTTAAAAGCAAAAATCCATATTGTCGGCTCATTTACAAGTCACCTAGAGTTAAACAGTTACGTTTAACCAATTCAGACAATCTAAGGGTTTGCCAAGAGCTCTTTTAGCTTAGCATAAATTATTGAGGCACAATTATCTAACTCAGGACTGTCTTCACCTAGCTAGAGACTATATTCAGGCACTGCACAATATCACTGCGCCTGCTGCAGCCATGGTACGACAGCAAAGTTCCTTGATTATTAAACCAGAATGAGTATATAGTTCCAAGAATAGCAACTTTCATTTTCCACTGATCTTAGTACATGATTTATTTATAGAATAGTCAAGCTTTAAATAGGAAAATTATGAAAACTCGATTTGAAAATTTCTAAGCAAGATGCTAATGGTCTAATCCGATTCAATAGTTTATGCTAAGCTAAACTAAAAGTGCTCCCACCAGACCGAGAGTGCTCTGTTAAGGCTTGTTACTTTAATAACATTTCAAGTAATGCATTTAGTTCTAAGAAATGACAACATATGCTGCTTTTTTATTTTGCATTATGACCTGGATAATGTTTACATTCCCTAGAGAAAGTATGCTAATGGTCTAATCAGACTCAATAGTTTATGCTAAGCTAAGCTAAAAGTGCTCCCGCCAAACCCAGAGGGCTCCGTTATGGCTCATTACTTTAATAACATTTTTAAAGCAATGCATTCAGCTCCATGAAACGACGACATATGCAGCTTATTTACATTTGATTATGACCTAAATAATGTTTAAATTCCCAGAGAAAGTAGTACTATTTGTATTTTTGCTGTAAGATTATTTTAACTGCATTATATTTTAGGCATATTTTGCACTTAACTTTAAAGTTACCCCAATCATTCTACAACTATCAGTTGTTTCCAAAAAAGATAGCTCCGGTATATGATTCTGACGGTATGATTGCCTTGGATAAAAATATCATGGTTTCACAGTATTGTGCTTACTGCTCTAAAATATGCTCTTTTTGAATGTCTGGGTAAAAAACAAAAACCTTTTTCCCCTTTGAACACAATATATTTTATTATGAAAAACATTTGAAATATTTTGGAGCAGTAAACATTTCAGGCTAAATGAATAAAATAAATCATTGACTTTTGCTGTCTTCATTATTACAATTTAAAACAGCATCTTTTCTGCTGGAGATCCTGTTGTCCTAGAAAACTAAAAATATCTTACATAAACCGTGGGAATGGTATAACAGAACATTTTGGTGGCTTTAAAACCTTAACTTTTCCAAACCTCGGTATACCCTGAAAACTGGTGTCGTCCCATGCCTAGGCAGGGTTTAAATTTTGCTCATCATTTCCTTGTAGCAAACTAATGGTAAAAGGGGTGTGGTCATGAATATTGTGAATGAAGTCATCAAGCAAATGATAAAAAAACAAAAAAGACTTTGAAAAACCAAAACAAAAAAATTCAGTGGAGCATATAGCAGGGATGATTTGTTCATCTAAAAAACAAAAATGCACTAGCAAAACAACAAACACTGTAAATTCTGATTTCACACAAGCTTTAAACTGTCTGTATTGACAAATAATTGATTATGAAACAGTGTTTCCACCTGTGCTTGGTGTTTAGGTTTGAGGGGAGGGACAAAGTGATGGACGGTGCTGATGTTGAAAGCTTGTCCTCTCTGAAGTCCTCGTTTAGCATCTTCAACTCCTATTAAAAAAAAAAGGCAAAGTTTAAAATGTAACCTTTGCTGTGCCATAAAAAGCACAAGACAATATGACAATTTTCTATTACTTTAACGAATAATAAAGATAACATATGGTAAACACTGGTTTATATAAAAAAAAAATTTATTTATTTTTTTTTTATTAGAAGATACAAAAAGGTACACAATTTGAGATGACACAAATACAAAAACTATGAAACAATAACAAAAAACAACAACAACAATACAGTCAAATATACTGGCAGGTGCGGGTGTTTGTGCATGTGTGCATGTATATGTGTGTGCATGTAAAGGAAACTTGGTAAACAGTTCAGAGTACATACAAAAGGTACAGTAACATTCACTCAATGAAGCAAGTAACATATTATATATATATTATAAATATATATATATATAAATATATATATATAAATATATATATATATATATATATATATATATATATATATATATATATATATATATATATATATATATATATATATATATATATATATATATATATAAACGAAAAAAAAACAGATATAAAGAAACCAGTCAGTGATGAGTGATGACAGTAAACAAGCAAGAGAGGACAACAGCAATAATCATCATCATCAACAACAACAACAACCACTACAATGATAATAATAAGAATAAATCAAAAGTACTACAATAACTACTACTACAGAGAGCTTCTAATGTTATGGCTATTACTACTGCTACTACAGCCACAACCACTACTACTACTACAAAAATGTCTGCTACAACTACTGATACCATTACAATGACTACTACATCTACTACTGATACTACTACAGCAATGCCTGCTACTACAACATCTTCATTAACGTCTACTACTTCTGATACTACTACACCGACAACGACTACTAATACTACTACTACTACACATCCACTACCTCTGATACCACTATACCAACGACATCTACTACTACAAATACTACTTCAAAAAATAAATAAATAAATAAATAAATAACCCAACTATAACCACTACTACGACTATGACTACTACTACAACAACTACAGCAACCTGAATAATGACAGTTTTAGAAAAACTTGTAAAAATGATAATGAGGAGATAACAGGACAAGTCAGGACAGTAGTAATAATAATAATGATAACAAAAGTAGAAGTACTAATATTAATGAAAATAGTGAGGAGGTGGGGTGGGGTTGGGAATTCAGGTAGAGGACAAATAATAATAATAATTAGTAGGAAAAGGAAAAAGAAGAAATAGAAGATTAGAGAAGAAAGTAAAAAAGGAAAGCAAAGAAAGAGTAGAAGAAGAAAAGGAAAATAAAAAAGCAAGTGGAAACAAATTGCAGCAGACAAAACAATGAGAATATTAAGAGAAAAAACATTACTATAATAATGGTAATATACTCAAAGAAAAGAATTATATTGAAAAGAAGAATTTAGGTAACACTATGATGAATTATTAATAAAAATGTATTTATGTAAACGATTTGAAACTTGACCATTTATCTATCATCATCCAAACAACTTACACAATAAAAAAGGGGAAACAAAAATCCATACCAAGAACCTCAGATATCAACTATATTGGAAAAAAACAATAAATCGGTGTTTTAGATTGGGGTAAAGCTGAGGTTATATTCACAGTCTGACTTTCTCCTTAATCTAATTTCAGAAAAGTATTGTTTGCAAATTCTTAATAGGGATATCATATAGTACCAATGACAATCTAAATAAAACATTGTTCACAGTCCATTAAATAGTGGTAATGTTGTTATTAAGTCATATTTACATGCGATTTCAGACAGTATTCAAACAATCTTGGTAAACAAACAGGGACCACTTCACAACCCTAATGGTCAAAACTTACTACCGTTTAAAAAAATGAACGAATGTGTGCACATAAAACCCTTTATTGAAGTAAATTTTGTTTTATATTCTCATTTTTATGACTTTCTCCTAAATAATTATTTCAGAAAAGCATTTTTGTAAATTCTAAATAGTGAAATCATATTAGCAGCTAAAGACTATCACAGTAATTTACAACATTCACAATTAATTAAATAGAGCTAATGTTGTTTTGAAGTCCTGTGTACACTTCAAGTACCATGGTAAATAATATAAGGTGTGTGTCACAAGTTGTCACAGAACGAATGTGCAAATATAAAACCAATTTTAACGTTTCCTTAGTGCGTTTATTGAGGTAAATTTGGTTTTATATTCACACACTCGTCGGAATTTCTCTTTAATAATTACTTCTGAAAAGTATTCTTTGTAAATTCTAAATAGTGAAATCATATTAGCAGCCAAAGACTGTCACAGTACAACATTGTTCACAGTCAATTAAATAGTGCTAATGTTGTTTTGAAGTCCTGTGTACACTTCAAATGTTCAAAGTAACCATGGTAAACAATATAGGTAGCGTGTCACAAGTTGTCACTGAACGAATGCGCGAATAAAACACCAACTTTAAAGATATCTCAGTGCGTTTTAGCACTAAAGCTTAGCATTCATATCACCAGTCTGACATCATCCAACGTTAGCTGTTCGCACCTTGCTAACTGCTCGTATATAACAACAAACCACCAAAGGGAATATAATAATAGCGCATGTCAACATTAATCGATTTCTTCTAATGTATATTTGTATTTACAGAACGTCAAACGTCCTATTTAATGTTAAACTGGCTGCAGTCCAAGCACTAGAAGCTTCGAGCGCTGATAAACAGGCCGTTGTTTACAAGACAGAACCCACCTTTTCCGCGCTATAGCTCGTTTATTATCCGATCCAGCGGGGTCATCCATTTGCTCCATGATTATTAAATTAAATATTCGCTGTTGATATGCTGATCAAGGCGGAAAATCACCGAAATTTTTAGGTTAAAGGCCTTTTTTAAGCGAACGTACGATTATCAGGGACAACAAGAACAAGGCGTACGGCCAAAATGACGGACAGGAAGTTCAAGGTTGTAGAGTAAAAGTCCCCTTCTTGCTGGCGAATGAGGGCGTTGACTTCCGGCACACCTCCAGCAGAGCCCAATGAAACCATAAGGACGTTTTATGGTATGTTTTGATGGCTGAGCACGAAAATAAAATATAGTTCATGACAAAAAATACGAATGGTCATGCACATATTTTCTATTAATGACCAGCACGTCATGTGGAGGATATAAACTAGATATTTTCCATATAAAATTGAAGTCCTTCATGCATCTACACTTTATAATGTTATTGTCTTGTTTTTTCTTTGTCTTCCTTTTTATGGAAAATATATTTTGTTTTTTCGCCATATCTAACACACATCTGTGACCGAGATTTGTTGATAAAAAAGTGGAGTTAAACATTTTCAGAGGGATATGCAGTTTTGATGGTCTTTGTCGGAAATATATTTGTGAATTTCATATATTTAGACTGCTTTAAGCAATAATGAGTCATATATTTAGGCTATTTCAATTCTGTTTATCCCATTAAGGTAATTATATTTTAGAGATTTTATGTTCTTATAAATTTCATACAATGGTATACACAATCTGACAAAAGTCTTGTCCTTGTTCCCAGTTGTAAGAGCGACAAATAATAGCTTGACTTCTAGTTGATCATTTGGAAAAGTAGCAGAGGGTAATTTTTTTTTTTTGATGATTCATCTGTTGAGCTGCATTCCAATCATCACAGATACTGCAGAAAACCTACTACTGGAACCAGCATGGACTCAAGATACTCACTAGAAATTAGTCAAGTTTGTTGAAGGAAAAATCATGGTTTGGGGTTACATTCAGTATGGGGGCGTGAGAGAGATCTGCAGAGTGGATGAAAACATCAACAGCCTGAGGTATCAAGACATTAGTGCTGCCCATTACATTACAAACCACAGGTGAGGGCAAATTCTCCAGCAGGATAGCGCTCCTTCTCATACTTCAGCCTCCACATCAAAGTTTCTGAAAGCAAAGAAGGTCAAGGTGCTCCAGGATTGGCCAGCCCAGTCACCAGAAATGAACATTATTGAGCATGTCTGGAATAAGATGGAGGAGGCATTAAAGATGAATCCAAAGAATCTTGATGAGCTCTGGGAGTCCTGCAAGAACGCTTTCTTTACCATTCCAGATGACTTTATTAATAAGTTATTTGAGTAATTGCAGAGATGTATGGATGCAGTCCTCCAAGCTCATGGTAGTCATACACAATATTAATACTTTTTCCACTGCAGCATGACTCTTTATTTTATACTGTACATTATTTCTGTTTTGTGACAAGACTTTTGTCTAAGCAAAGTCAGACCTTACTGTCTTAAATTATTAAAAATCAAGGCATGATCGTATTTTATTTTGGTAAAATAAGCGTAATAGAGGCCTTTGCCTTTCATATAAGCCACTTCTGATATTAAATGATCAACTAGAATAATAATAATTCCACAAATTCAAGCATTTATTAAGACAAAAAAAAATGACAACAATGTTAACAGATGGGATTTTTTATTTATTTATGATGTGACATGGAAGGCACTGCATTGCATCATATTTTGCATAGGACCACCTCTTTACTTATGAGAAATTAAAGTTAAGCAGAATTTAAATTAAAGTGACTCTTTTCTGATCCCTATGCGGATATTTGCAAAAGCAATCCACCTTCACATTTAAAACAGATCAATATTTTCTTTCTTAACCGTTTTATCCATGAAAAAAAAACAATTTTAAGGCGCTGTTGCATTCAACACTATGAATAAATAACTTTTCAACAACAACAACATAAAAAAAACAAACAGAAATCAAGTACATCGGTCATAGTTCTCCAAACAAATTATGTAAGAAGAAATTATAATCGTCCAGAGTTTTCCCCCCAAATGACTTACAAACAAAGAATATGTATTAAAAAAAATAAGATTGACATTTTTATAGGTTATTTAAACCTAAATACATTCCCTGGGTTAATTAATGCCCTTATTTAAAACATGAAAAGAACATTTTAATCAAGCGTTATCAAAAAAGGCAGTTTAGGAATTCAGAACCAAAGCACCATGAGTAATATGAACAGATTCTTATCCAGCAAAATTGCAAACACCCTTTGAGACAGGTTACTTGATCTTATTAACATATATACAGTACAGTATACTATAAATAGTATATGACTACACAGAATTTAAGGTTAAAAAAGAGCCCAGTATATACAGTTTGTGTTTCTGGACTATTATTGCTATGAAAACAATCTCCAGTACTTTTATTCCCCAAGTACAGCTCTACAATAGTATTAAACTAAATTGTACCAACAGTGCAAGTTAGTTCATGACTAGACGAAGACGATTTTCACTATTTATATGATTTAGCTACATTGTGATGCGTGCAAAAGAATCAAGGTTTCATATTCTGGAGCAAGATATTCTTTTGGGTGACCCATGCTGTTATTGTATAATAATGCCATATACATCGTCCAGTTTTCTTTTTCTTTTCTCTGAGGTCTCTAATGAAACTGCAACATACTGTTTGGCACAGGAATAGTGGAACGGCACCTCCCAAAACACTGAAGTGAGAGTCTGACCTTCGTTCTGTGTTCAGGTCAGTAATGTGGTCATCACTTTGACACAGTTGTTTGGTCACTCTTAAAGACGTCTTAAAGGTGCAGAGGTGATTGATGTAGCGCTCGGCGAGCTTCACTGCAACTCAGCTCTTTCCAGAAACTTCTTTTTGGAACCTAAAACAAAGTCAAATCAAGTCTTACGAATTCTAATTTATGACAAAAATGTAATAATATAAAATTACATTCATTCATTTATCATTCATTTTTATCAGTTTATCCGGGGCCGGGTCACAAGGGCAACAGTCTCAGGAGAGAACTCCAGACTTCCCTCTCATCAGACATTTCCTCCAGCTCGTCTGGGGGATCCTGAGGCGTTTCGAGTCCAACCGAAAGACATAGTTACTCCAGCATGTCCTGGGTCTCCCCCAAGGCCTCCTGCGGGTGGGACATGCCTGGAACACCTCCCTAGATAAGCCTCCAGGAGGCATCTGAAAATGCCAGAGTCGACTCAGCTGGCTTCTCTCGATGTGGAGGAGCAGCGGCTGTACTCTGAGCTCCTCCTGAGTGACAGAGTTCTTCACATTATCTATAAGGGTGCGCCCTACCACACTGCAATAGAAACTCATTTCGGCCGCCTGTATCTAAGATCTTGTCCTTTCGGCTCAGCTCAACAGGCCGGTACATTGACCGTATTACTGCTGCCGCAGCACCAATCTCGAACCTGAAGATGGTAAACTACCTTTTTCTGGGGAAGCACCATGTCCTCGAACTTGGAGGTGCAGATTCTCATCCCAGTCGCGTCACACTTGGCAGCCCCAGTGCATGCTGAAGGTCCATGTCGGATGAAGCCAACAGAACATCATCATCTGCGAATAACAGAGATGAAATTCTGTGGTCCCCGAACCGGACACCCTCCGTCCCAAGGCTGCGCATAGAAATTCTGTCAATAACAATCATGAACAGAACCGGTGAACCGGTGAAGAGCACCCCTGCTGGAGTCCAACATTCACTGGAAACAAGTCTAACTTATTGCCGGCAATGCGAACCAAACTCCTGCTCTGGGGTACATTTCCCAAAGCCATCATTAGCCAACAAAGGTCGCAAGTTCCGTCGTTACAAGCATAGTGTGTTGATTTGCCGTATCCAAAATCCGTCACTCCTATGAACATTTGCAAACTGCGTCGCAATCTTGATAGCTTGCAACTACAGCTCTGCAGCTGTAGTTTGAAACGTAGTTCCTGGCTGTGTTCTATTCCCACTTATCCCCCCTATACCCAATTCAATTAGAACCTTCTAACATTTAAACTTTGAATAATTAAAAATAAAAAATAAAATAAAAAAAAAAGGTGTAATTTGCCTTCAAACTATTTTTACAGTTCAGTTTTAGCGATCGTCATGTTTACAATTGTGCTCCCTTCGCAGTGCACTTTGAAAGCATTAATGTCATTTTGAACACAGCCTCAAGCGAAAGCTTTAGGTGACCTATTATTTAAAAGCGGAATTTATATTACGTCTCCAAAGCTTGTGAAAACAAAACGCATACATTAATTATTTTAATTTATAGTGGGTTATTTATTATCTGTACTGTATATGACATGGACATGCCGGTTAGAACTTTCTGCAGTGGTTACAAGTGTCAAATTGTAAAAGTAGACTTAATAATATACTTAAAAAAACTACTTAATAATAATAATAATAATAATAATAATAATAATAATAACATGAATAATTATCATCATCATCATAATCATTAATATTATTAATATTTTTATTAAATAAAGATTTTTTTCATTTCTAATACATAGTAATATAAATAATAATAATAATTATCATCATCATCCTCATGATCATCTCTAGTATTATTAATATTATTATTAAAATATGATTTTTTTCATTTCCTAAAAAATAATAAATAATAAATTTCATTTTATAATAAATCGCCTCAGTATTTATTTATTCATATGATTTATCTATGATATTAGAATACGTGTTAGCTTTTGTAAGTGATTTGCTTTAGAATAGGACATATCATTCTAAGTAATATTTGTAAAGGAAACTTATATGTGCCATTGACATATATTTCAGTTAATATAGAAAACGAGTGCATGTTTTAACCAAAACCAATATGGGATTTCATTTAAATGAGTGTTTGTGTAAAACAATATAATTTGTACAAAGAAATGATGGGGCTCTTCTGTGAAGAAGTAGTTCCTCCGCCCCGTTTAGATTGTCATTATGGGCGTTTTACGTTATAACTAACATTAGAAGCGATGGATCTGCGATAAAGAAACTATGCGTTTTGGGAAACACTCGTCACTACATCGTTCTTTTCCCAAATGATGCATCGTACCATGATAGTTCAGCAGTGAGTTACGTCGTTGTTCAGAAATCGCACCCCTGTTCATTTGGGACGAGACGGCCCTTAACAGAGCGCTTCTGACCCCATACTATACAATACATAC